AAGCAAAGAGACCATCTAGTCCAACACGTTCAAGTCTATACGAGGGTAAATTATATAATATATTTTTGTATTTTAGTAAAAATGTATAAAATATTTTCGTGTTTTATTTACCGCGTAAAATTCTCTTGTGTTAATGTAAAATTTGCACGAAATATTCTTTTCGTCCAAAATTGAAAGTTGATTGTAAATATGAACTCATTAATGCAAATTTATATACAAATAAAAAAAGATAAAATATCTTAAATAAATATTTTGAGTATTTCCAAAAAACTATAAATTGAAAGATTAATCAATTATTTATTTATTTATTTATTTTATTCAAAAAAATTATTTAAAATATTTTACTTCTTTTATTTTATTTGTATAAAACTTGTTTAATTCATGTCTTTATTTAGAACCAAACATCAGCTTTTGACAAGAGAGTATTTTGTGCAACCTTTAATTAGCACAATAAAGTTTCATGCAATAAATAAAATACTGTATTTTATATATTTTTACTAAAACACAAGAGAGTCTTATATAATTTACTCCCACAATAAACAACCAAGTGCGTGTAGGTGTATCCAGTCCAAATTTTCGGTTTAGCAGAGAAAGTCTAAGGGCGAAGAAGAAGTTACTGCATAAACAAGAAATCCAAAATGGCTCGGAGTTGTTTTGATTCAAAATAAAATCCGAATTCCACAATTATTTTGGGGGTAACCGTACATATATCTATGTATTAATTATGGTAAACTGTTTTTTTGTCCCGTAACTGACCCCCTTATCATTTTAGTCTCGTAAGTGTAGCTTGTCGCAAACTAGTTCCATAAGTGAAAAATTTTCGCTGTTTGAGTCCTCCGGCGCCGGAGATGCCCGCGTGGCTCGCCGGATGTGACATGTCCGCCAGGTGTCGCTGACCTGGCGGACACGTGGATGTTTTATTTTATTTTTATTTTTTAAATTTTTTTTTAAACTTATTTTTAATTTATTTTTAATTTTATTTGTATTTTTTTATTTTTTTTATTTGGTCCAATTAAAAAAAATTTAAATCCACGTGTCCGCCAGGTGTCGCTGACAACACGTCACCTCCGACGAGCCATGCGAGTGTCTCCGGCGCCGGAGAACTAAAACAACGAAAATTTTTCACTTATGAGACTAGTTTGCGACATGCTCCACTTACAGGACTAAAATGATAAAGGGTCAGTTACGGGAGTAAAAAAACAGTTTACCGATTAATTATTATTGTATCGATATTCATCGTCATCTTTAATTTTCTTTATATGTAGTGAACTTGTATAGTGATCATTAGATCCGGATTTTGCGCTATTGAATATTATGGTTCAACATATTATTTATGGTATTTCGCAAGAGTTTTTTGTTATTTGTGGTATGAACTTCCAATGTATTGATAACATGTTCAATGTATTGCATCGCATTTTAATAGTTTTTTTTTTTTTTTTCATTCATTGTATAAACATTTAAAATATTCATACAATTATTAATAAATATATATATATATATATATAACTACTTTGTTTAACAATTCAACATGGTAGTGATTTTTATTGTGATTTCTTATATTTTATATAAGGTTCAGCATATATTTTTATATTATTCACCCACACAATTTTGAAAAAAAAAAATGAAGAAAATATAAGTTCAAGTATGAATTATAAATTAATTTAATTTGAATTCCTAAATGAGAATCAAGTATAGATTTTATATATAAAAGTGACTCTGATGTCGCCACAATTGTGTTCTTTTAGTGTTCAGAAATTTTTAGATTTTTTTTTTTTTTCTTAGTTTTTGAAAACTGCAGAAGGATTATTAAAATATTTGTGTCTTTTTTCTAAAAAAAATATTTTGTAGGATAAAATAATTTATTTTTAGTAACTATGGACAGTATTTTATGAAGAGTTTTGTGACATTTATTTGTTTATTTCATGAAGAACTCCAACGAAGGAATTTTATAGTGAGATTTTGCAATTTGATTTTATATGTAATATACAATTAAAAATAACAAATAATAATATTAATTTCTTATCAGAATAAAACAACTAATTAAAATATATTGTATCATGATACATTCGATGTGAAAAAATTGAAATGTACAATGTGTTATTATTATCATTATTTATTTTTAATACAATGCACCTTTATTTACTTGAATTTTCTCTCTTTTTTAATTATTTTATATTACAGAACATTACTTTCAATTAACTTTCTAAACTAAAATGCAAAACCCAAATAAAATAAAATCTAAATATTGATAAATGGTGGAATTATATATATATATATATAAGAGATAAATACACATATTACTCATGTAACACAATGGGCACAAATTGATGATCTCACGTACGTATAACTAAGGATGGAATTATATATATACTTTCTTCAATCATTTTGCGGATAATAATTGATACGTGTGACGCATGATTTTATGGGTTCTACTAATTTTTCGTTGTTTTTTGGAAATTTAGTCGAATCTTTAATGAAGTTGTGTTTTTTTATTGGATTATAAAAAATACTTAGTTTGTAATCTCGCTTAGGAGAGTAGTTACGGTACTGAATAAATATAATCAATACAGCATTGCAGATAGCACAGTAATGTGTATCGGACAACATAATAAATATAAATCTATAATACGTATAAAATAAAATACGATATGTACTATAAAATAAAATATGATATGTACTGTTTGTTATATTTTTTTTATATTATGTATAGTATTTTTATATGTTGATCGGAGTAATTAACATAAATCTCCAATATACAAAAAACAAATAAACAAAATGAATAAAGCTAAATTAAATCTTTATAATTTATATATTATCCATTAATGTGAAATTTGCGGATCTTAGGAAATCTTTTTTATAATTTAATTTGAAATTAACTTCTTTAAAACTTAATATTTTAAATTAAAATACATATATGCTTAGCCTGTAAACCCTAATTGCATATATATATACAGAGAGAGAGAGAGAGAGAGAGAGAGAGAGAGAGAGAGAGAGAGAGAGAGAGAGAGAGAGAGAGAGAGAGAGAGAGAGAGAGAGTATCTAACTCCAAGATACAAGAAAATGGTAGACACACTGGGCGTGTTTGTTTGCATTTAGATCTTGTTTGCTTACTGTGCAATGATGTTTTTTTTTAAAAAAAAAAAATTGTATATATTTATTTATATAAAATAAAGCTAAGTTTTGTATCAAACACATATATATAACATCATATCATATATTCATTTTAAATTAAAAAGTTTTCTAAGTTCCCAAACTCCTTTAAACAACCAAAAAACACCCCCAAGAAATCTTCTACATATATATATAATACTTCATCTGTCCATCTGTCCGTCTTTAAGGATTATATTTATTTTTTGCGTTATTGTACTTAATATTAAAAATAATTTTATATTTGTATAATTTATTTTTTTTGTACAAATGTGATTATATTAGTATTATAAGACACTAATAAAAGTATTTTTGTATTTTTCCCATGATTTGTACTATTGTTTTAATATAATAATTAATATTCAAATATCAACATATAAAAATAAATGAGACCCTTAAAGTCGGATGAAAGTAGTATAATATTACATCAAAAATCAATTTTCTATTATAACCATTACATCCAAAACTTGAAAAGAAAATGACCTAAAATAGATTTTAACACATGTATGTTATTTTGGGTTTGGTTTGAAAAATATTTGATTTATATTATGTATATAATTAATTTAATATAATATTTGAGAGAAAAAAAAAATTAAAACAAGTTTTGAAAAAAAAATTATATAATAAGAAATTGATAATTAACTTTTATATACTATCTCTGTCACCTAAAAATGTACTCAAATTTTTTTTGCCACAATATTTAATATGGGATGTATTTTTTACTACTTTTTCCGGTGAAAAAAAATACAAACAATAATATAATTTTTTAATATAAAAAATATAAATATAATTTTAGATAACAAATGAAGTAATATTCATAAAAAAAATTAAATATTTGATTTTAGCGTCCACAAAGGGACGAGGGGGAAAAAAAAAAAGAGCAACGTAAAATGTAAAACTAATTTGGAACTCCAAATTTTGATTTAAATAATCATAAACAACATTTATTTCCAACTAAAAAAAATCAAATCCCACACATTCCAAACAAAAAGCCTGAAACCAAAAACAAATACCCTTAATTTTACAGTAAGTAAGGGTGTGTTAATTCGAAGAATTGGATTTTGAGTTGTATGATGTGATATAAATATGTGTTGATGTGATATTTTGAATTTAAAATTAATTTTTAGTACTCCTTCAGTCCCATAACTAGATATTCGTTTGATTTTTGCACGAAATTTTAGAAATATTAATATTATATTGAGATTTAATAGGAATAAAGTAGAAATTACTAAAATAATCTTTATAGTATTTTAATTATGATATAAAGGTAATGACAGAAAATTGATACTTTGTTATGGGACAGATTAAAATGGAAAAATGGATATTTTGTTACAAGATAGAGGAAGTATAATATAAAAAATATAAAATAGGTGTTTGATTTAATTTTTGAACGAAAAAAATTTGATGAACATTGGAAATCTTTGGAGTCACCAAATAGCCTCAATATGTGGTGTGAGTGTGTATCAGTATATGTATAGATACATATACATACATATATAGACAGTGAATTGCAAGGATGGAAACACTGAGAGGAAGAAGTCATGGTGCATCAGAGATGGATAGCGAAAGGGAGTGGCCAACACTTTTATTACATACATACATATACATACATACATATATATATATACATACATATTTGTGTGTGTGAGTAATAATTGGAGAAGACAATAAGTGAATTCAAATCCATATGCAAGTGTTTATGATAGTGCCTATAGCTTCTTCAATTCAATGGAAAATCCCTAATTCTCATCCCAAATCTCATCTCATTCAAACCCTAGCCAGCCAACCCACCCCCCCCCCCCCACCCCCATCGCCTTTACACTACACTACCCTACCCTAACTTTTAATTTAATCGATTTCAATTATTACTATTAACATTTCATTTCACCAAAATAATAATTTGCCAATTTTATCTTTAATTTTGCTTTGTACCTTGGGATTCTTTATATAGAGCCACAAGTTGTGCTGCTTTGATGCATACCTCAGTTTGAAAGCAATCTTGAGAGAGAGAGTAGAGAGAGAGTTGGTATATATATATATATATATAAGCATTTCTTTAATTTAATTTTTTTTTTTCTTGAACTTGGGTTTGTTGCCCTAATTTTCTTTCTTCCTCCAAATTATTATATTTCAGGTTTCTTATCATCAGATCGAATTTCTTCTGCAGAAAAAAAAATAAAATGGAAATGACACCGGAGCAGCTTTGTTACATTCCTTGCAACTTCTGCAGTATTGTTCTTGCGGTACAACTGATCCAACAATATATATATATATAAGAAAAGGGGAAGAGATCTAAATTTTATTTGGGATCTGATTTTAGTTTGATTATGTTAATTTCTGTGAAATTACAGATGCAAATTTCTTGAAATTATTGTGCATGGTGTTCTTCTTTCTCTCTTTCTCTCTCTCTCTAGCTCTGTTCATAGTTACTTCAATTCAATTGTTGTGTGAGAAAATTTGGGGTTTTCTGATCACACACTTTCTTTCTCGTGTTCTACTTTTGAGAAAGAACAATTATCAGAGATGATTAAAGCTGTCTCTGTGCGTATCAGAGATCATTTTTTTCTTTTTTTTTTTTTTTGAAAAAAACAAAACATTTGGTGCTCTTGTGGTGAAGCACCATTAATTCCACTCTCATACATCTCTGCAGATTTTTCCTCTCTTTATTGTTTTTCATTTTTTTCAGAAACAGTCAAGTCTCCATCCTCTGGACTTCTCTTTTCCTGTCAAAGCTTCCAAATTAATTAAAAAAAAAAAAAAAAAAAAAAAAAAAAAAAGAAGAGAGAGAGAGAGATCCAGAAATTTGTTGATAATTCTGTGTTGAAATTATTTAATTTAATTTTAAGCTGATGATGAAGACAAGTCGTGGAGCAGTGGATTTCATCCAAAGCTTTTTTCACCACTGAAAAGATTTCATCACTGTCAAAATTAATCGATAGGGCTTTGAATGTCTGAAACAAAAAAAAATTGGACCAGAAGAAGTCACTGATTTAGGGTTTCCTTTTTAACAACACAATCTATTTTTTCTTTTCTCCATTTCCTTTCAGGGGCTCTTCTTGGACACTTACAATTCCATCATTAATAATTCAATTAGGACATGAATTCAATTCGAGTTAAATTAAATTTGATTTTGTCTGGCAGGTGAGTGTTCCTTGCAGCAACTTGTTCGATGTTGTGACAGTTCGATGTGGTCACTGTACCAATCTCTGGACAGTAAACATGGCAGCTGCATCCCAATGTCTGCAACAACAGCAACAGCAGCAGCAGCCCTCCTGGCAAGATTTGCAGGTTTTTCTCTCAACCAACATTTCAGCCCAATTTATGGGCGATCTTGAATCTATCTATTCAGATCTATCTTGCTTCTTTCAAGGGAATCAAACCATACCCTTTTTTCAAAATTTAATTTATTAAAAAAAAAAAAAAAAAAAAAAACAAGAATACAATTTTGAGGGTTTTTAATTTGTCAAAGTCATACAGGAAAGTTGAATTGTTTTCTTCCCAAGATCTGCAAAAACCTAACCTGCAAATGCTTAACAGCCGCCACTGCATAAATACCTACAGATAGCATCTATATCTATATCTATATGTATATATATATATATGTAAGTGTATCTATATATTTTACTTTTAAATTTCAAGATTTGGGGTTTTGGGTTTTTAGATCTGGTGATTTGATTGATGTGTTGGGTTCTGATTTGATTTTTTTTATTATTTATTTAAGTGGGGTATGAAAGCACATTTGGTAAATTAGGGTTTTTTTTTTTTTTTTTCTTGATGTGATTAATTATGATAAATGGAAGCAGAAGAAGAAGAAAAACATTTGAAAGGCTTTTAGATACATCAGGATTTGTCTGATTGTATAGAGGAACACAGACACATAATACAGAGTAGGGTTTTTGCAATCTCCTATAATTTAATTTCTTAATTAATTAATTAAGTAATTCAGAGAAGTGTCGATTCCAGCTGCCATTTTCTTTGTCATTCCTAACAGATTCAGTCACTTCGATGTCGGTATTTTATTAAAATATTCCTTCATCCTTTTGAATGAACATCATCAATCTTTTCAATACAACCTTTTTACTAGACCATTTTCCTTTTTTATCCTTTCATATCATATATATATATATATAATATACATTTGTAACGGAATTTCGTCCGTAAAAATTACGTAGCTAACGTAATTTCATTGTTAATTATGTCTCTAATATCATTAGTAACGAAAACAATGAATTTAAAGATTAAAAAATTTTGTTACAAAAATGATATTTTCTTGTAGATATATAGTACACAATTTTATTTTATTATAGAGTTTCTTTGAGTTCAAATGTATTTTATTTCTTGTCCTTTCTATTTTCATCACTTTGAATTCTCTTTAATCTCAGGTAATTTTGTTGGGTGTGTTCTTTTACTCAAAATAAACCTATATATTTCCCCAAAAATTTAATATATTATACATTAATTACTTTTATATTACCTACACAATTTTCTATAGTTTGCATTAAAAAAAAATAATTTAAATCGAAACATAAAACAAATACACCCGTAATATCACTACAAAAAAAAATTATTTTTGTAACAAAACTTTTTTTTTTTGTCTCTAAATCTATTTTTTCCGTTACTAATGACATTAGAGACGGAATTATGAATAAAATTACGTTAGCTACGTGAACTTAAGGACGAAATTTTGTTACAAATATATTATATTTTTTTTGTAGTGATGTATTTTATTTTATTTTGGTTGTGTTGTTGTCTATATTTATTTATTTATTTTTTTTTTTTTTTCAGGCTCCAGGCTACAATTCATCTGAATACAAAATTGATCACTTTGGCTCTTCTTCAAAATGGAACAACAAGATGCCTATGATACCACCTTCCATCACCAAAAAATCTGACCAGAGAGTCGTGAATCGACGTTTGCATTTTAATTTCTTTCACCAATATAATAATTTTCACGGCTAAAAATTCTCTATGTATACACTATATTTTCTTGAATCGCGGCACCAATTTTTTATTTCTTTCAATGTTTATATATGCAGCTCCGGAGAAGAGGCAACGAGTCCCATCAGCATACAACCAATTCATAAAGTATATTAATTCTACAATTTCACCAAATAAATACCATCATTATGTTAATTTTTCTTGCTACATGTTTTACAAGAGATTAATTTTTCTATTGCCCTATTTAATCGAATTTCGTGTATTTACATATAGAGAGGAGATCCAACGGATCAAGGCGAACAACCCGGAGATAAGTCACCGAGAAGCCTTCAGCACAGCTGCTAAGAATGTACGTACATATATATGTGTGTGTATATATATGAAAATTGTTACGATTGATTTTATTACAAGGAAAACAAAAATAAATATGAAGATACGCATAATGAGTTTGTAATAAATTTGGTGCAGTGGGCACACTTCCCTCACATCCATTTTGGGCTTATGTTGGAGAGCAATACTCATGCTAAGCTCAATGATGTAAGCAAATTCTAACTTCTCGATTAAATTTTACCTTAGTTTTTTGTGTCTTTATTTCTTCTGTATATGTTTTTTGAGGATTCAAAAGTATCGAGCCTTAAAAAATCAAACATCGATGGATTAACCTGTGAAGTTAGATCATGTTACTCTTGCTAGAAAATTCGAACGTCTAAAAAATCAAACATCTCTTTTGTAATACTCCATCTGTCCAACATATGGTGTCTTGTACACTATAGATACAAGATTTTAGGAATAACATAATTAAAAAATATATATTAGTAAAAATAATTATATATAATATAATATATATAATTATAAATTAAAATTAAAATAATTAATTAGTCTAATGAATCATAATAATTAAGCGTCGCTGCTACTTAAATGTCGGATAGTAAAATTAATAAAACAATCACGAAGTAGTGAAATGAAGAGTGTCTTTTGCATTTTGTTTAATATGTTTTGTGTTTTGATGATTTTCAGATAAAAATAATTGGTTGTTGTGATGGTTTGTATAGAAAATAAGTATTATACTATGATATTTTTGGGGGGAAAAAAAATTATTTTATAGTAACAGAATATATCTTAAAACACAAATGAAGAACCAGTTTTTTTTTACACAATTTTGGGGTTTGGTTGAATTTGAAATGAATTGTTAATTTGAATTTTGTTTAAATAGTATTTTTAAAAGATTTGATTTAAAGCTAAAAGATATTTTTATATATAATATCAAGAGTTACCAACATTATTTATTGAAAAAATAAAATAAAATTCATAATTAAAATAAAAATTTTAAAAATAACAGTCATAATGATTGAATTGTATTTATGAATATATAGTTTGTATTTAAAAATTTGCATGTTGTGTGTTTTTATTTCCGACTTGAAAATTTGTTCAATATTTTACAAGGTCAGGGTTCGGAAAAATTCCCGATGAGAAGGACTGCCTTTTTGAAGAAAGGACCATAATCTTTGCTTCCGCGAAACTTTGTCTTCATCAACATCGATTCCGTGTAGGATGAAGGAATTTATATTTAATGTATGTTGAGAACATTGTAATAATATTTTCCTTTAGTCATGTGTTGTAATTTCAGTATCAACAAGAATTGGTTAAATCCAACAGAAGATATACTCGAGCGCGCGTATAGCTTGTGTGTGTTGATTATGTTACCAAAACATTAGTTTTTCAAATTTCGATATTGTGTTATAATTGGGGTTTGATCAAGAACAGAGAGCAATATGTGATTGTATTGTATTGTTTTCGGGTGAAATTAAGTTGTAATGAATTTGTGCTTGAAATGAATGTTTTAATTTATTTCAAGTAGGATGGCAATATTTGTTGATTGTTTCACTTTTATCGTTTTCATTTGATAACCTCATTTTTTGTGAGAAAATGATCGAATGCTTATCACACATAAGTCGACTTTAATTAATCGATTTGGAATGCATCATATTCAACACAACTAAACAAATTACGGGTCTTGGAAAAGATTGTCAATATTTGACGTGGTTAATATGAAAAAATAATAATAATAAAAAAGTTATTCTATTCAAGGATATACTCCCTCCGTCCCAGATACCGTATCTGCTACACTGTAGACACGATATTTTAGGAGGGATGTAATTAGTAGATAATTAAGAATGTATTAGTGAAAATAATTATCCTATAATATAAATAATTATAAATTAAGATTAAGATAACTAATTAGTTTAATTAAAATTTAAAATAAAATAAAATTTAAAAATTTAAATGAGATTAAAGTGTGTAATCATTTTCCAAAAAAAGAAAATGACATGGTATGTGAGACGGAAAAATGGCAATGTGAACATGGTATTTGGGACGGAGGGAGTAATTATCAATCGAACAAAGAAATATATTATTTATGAAGTAACTATACAACCACTTAAATAGATTGGTTGACTCTATAATAGTATATAAATAAATAAATTATGGATTTACTTCACATACATATTTAGTACTCCTCTATGTCTCATTATTCGATTAGAGTCCGGTAATAAATTAAAAAATAATAATATTTTATTAATTAATGCAAGTAATGTAAAAAGATTTGATATTTTTGTTATTTGCTTTATGTATAAAGTAATTATATGTGTAATATATTTTTATAATTTAAGTAAAAAATTAATGATATATTTGTATTATTAAATGATTACTTTTATTAATAAAAAATTGATATTTTTTAATGGGACCAAAAAAAATAATAAAATAAGTATTTTGAAGTGGGACGGATAAAGTATTATATTAAAATAATTATTTTACCTACAAATTTAAATTTAAAGTAATACCATCATCAATTATTACATATAGTCAACTAACAAAAAATATTACTCACAATAAGTTGTTTTGATATAAATATTTTCCATGAAGTATTAATTTTTGTATATGAGAAATTTTCTTTTTATTCATATAAAATATCTTAAAGATTAATAGTGAGTAAATATTTCATTCAATATTCTTATAATATAATAGAGTATTAATGCTCACTTATATCCTTAATTTTATACATAGAAATGCTAAGAACAATTTGACTTCTTGCAAGCATTTTCTAAGATGCATAAGGTACAATTAATTGTTGTAATTCCAATAAACATTTGACTATAGGCTAGATGTTAACCTTTTCAATTTATTTAGTTATGCATTTGCATTTTGGACTTTAGACAACAATAAGGCTAAACTGTTTTTTTTTAAGTCACGTAACTAGACTCCCTTATCATTTTACTCCCGTAAGTGAAGCCTATTGTAAACTAGTCCCATAAGTGAAAAATTTTTGTTGTTTTAGTCCTCCGGCGCCGGAGACGCCCGCGTGGCTTACTGGAGGTGACGTGTCCGCCAGGTGTCCCGCCAGGTCAGCGACACCTGGCAAACACGTGGATTTATTTATTTTTTATTTTTTTATTTTTTTTAATTGGACCAAATAAAAAAATACAAATAAAATTAAAAATAAATTAAAAAAAATTATAAATAAAATAAAAAATAAAAAATCCACGTGTCCGCCAGGTCAGTGACACATGGCGGACACGTCACCTCCGGCAAGCCACGCGGGCGTCTCCAGCGCCGGAGGACTAAAACAGCGAAAATTTTTCACTTATGGGACTAGTTTGCGACATGCTCCACTTACGGGACTAAAATGATAATTGAGTGCAGTTACGGGACTAAAAAAAGAGTTTACTCCAACCCAACAATAATTAAATACAAAGGATGAAGAATAGTCAATTCTTTAAAAAATTCTTTTAAAAATATATATATTAAGGAGAAATGAATATAAATTTGGTTTATATAATTTTTGGAAAAATAGACAACATATATATTGTTTTTAACTCCTTTAACTTAAAGACATCCATGAGCCCAAATATTACTTTTAACTCTTTACTAAGGTTCTTGAAGTGGATGTCATTTAAAATACAAGTTCTAATATCTTTTGACTTATTCTTACATTATTGTGACGAAATAGAATTATATAGTTCACCAACGGGAGCGTTGACTATGTTCATGACAGAAGGAGAATAATTTTAACCCTAATATGTTTAAGTTACTATATAGTTACTTCATAAATAATAAATACTCTTTCCGTCCGTCCGACTCTGAAGATCTCATTTACTTTTTTCGTTATTGTAAGTAACATTAAAAATATCATTATATTTGTATAAAATTTTGTACAAATGTCCTTCTATTAGTATTATAAGACACTGATATAAGTATTTTTGCAATTTTTTTCTTAATTTGTACTATATTTTGATATAATAATTAATAAATAGAATTGTAAAAAATAAATTGAATTATACGAATAAACAAATTAAAATCTTATTATAATTTAAAATATTTATTATCATGCATCTTTTATAAGATATAATGATCACATAATTTGGTATACTAACAGCACATTCAAAATTATTATGGATTATATCATTTGAAATTAAAGGATGTGTTTATTTTGTAAAATGATTTTAAGATATATATATAATTTTTATGTGAGATATATAAAATTGTGTAAATAATATAAAAATAATGAATATATGTAATATAATTCTTTTGGAAATATATATATATATATATAAAAAAAAAAAAACACATCCAAAGTAAACAAAGAATTAAATAAAATAAAATAATGTATGGCCTAGATTGGCCTTGACAATACACCGATTATTGGATCCCTTGTGATGAATTCCAAACCTTTTTAATATTAATGTTGTTGCAATCATCTCAACTTTCTTACACCATTATTGTTGCCAACAATTCACATTTGTTTGAAGTCGATTGCGAGATCTATCGATGACAGAATTATTTTATTTATGAATATAATTTTGTATAGACTTCGATAGCATAAGTTGTTCATAAAAAATGACTACACAACATAGTACAATGGGGAATCACATCCTCATGTCTAAATCCATGTTGAATATCATGGCATTGTGTAGGCCAATCCGATGACCACTTGATACGAGTTTAAGGACAACGAAAAAACATACCATGATGTCCTTTAAATTGTCTAGTTCGATAATTACATTTATCTCGTATACGTATTAGGTATAAAGAACATATATTATTTTCGCTTATTCTCAATCTTTGGGGCCACAATCTACTTATCATTGAGTACGATATTTCGAGGATGAATAATGAGATGTAGCCACACACATTTTTTGGAGTATATGTTCTAATGAATTTGAAGGAATTGATGGTATTTTATCTATTATTTTATGGCTTTTCGGGAAGGGACATTCAATAATTATAGATACACATATTTTGTATGTATAGTTTGAGGCCGGAAAGAATTGGAGGCTGATGATCCTAACCCTCGGATTTTAGCTGATGTTAATTTAGCGTTTTTTTTTTTTTTTTTTTTGATGTTATAACAATTTGAATTACTTATACTAATATGAAACGAGCATTATGATCATTTGATCGACGAAAAAAGTGTGTTGGGTTGCCTTGAATTCAGTTTTATGTTTGTTTTTACTTCGCTGAGTCACACGGAGTGTCACTCCAAACGGTATAGGCCAACTCCATAGTCTATTTTGATTGTTGGGTCTATTTTTTAGGTCCACTCGATTGGGTTTGATTTGAGTTATTATAAATACTCGCTATGATGTAATTTTGTGTGTGCTGCATTCTGAAAATTTATTAAGTGTATCATATGGATCATCTATTCCTGTAACGGAGGAAATATAAAACTGCTGTATTAATATTTTTAGTAATAATGTAAAGATTTTCTTTTTTTTTTTTTTTTTTTCTTTTCAATCTTGATTAAATTAATTAAATGAAAATTCATGTTACTATAATATCAATTGGGTGGATCTGATGCGGTCAAATCAGTACGGTGATTCGACGGAATTAGCATGTATTATAAAGATAAACAGTATTAAGTTTTATATAATACAACATATGTTGGTGTTATAAGATATCTGAATTATAATATAATTTATAGTCAAATCAGCATGGTTCTCATATATCTATCTGATTAATCGGTTTACCTTTATCTTGTGTGTTGTTGTTTATATGATTATAAGAAGAATTGAAATAATTATAGCTGAATTTTTTTTTTCAAGTTTGCAATATTATCTATGCATCCTCTCACGTATTTTGTAACAGATGATTACGTCGGAAAGATGATGCAAATGAGAAAGTTCGTCGTTCTTTTGATATGAAAAAGGAAAAATTTGTTAAAACTTTATTCTGATGAAGATATAAAATGTATATTTACCTCGAATAATCAAAATTGTCTAATATCCTTACGATGCATTTACTTTGTACGATATGATTACAATATATGTATTATTTTAATAAATTGTATAATTCAATGGTTACTTTAATTAATTATTGTATAAAATTATTAATTTTGTCTAAAATATTTTTAATCATATGATAAAAATTAATAGTAAATTAAATATTAATAAAAATAAATAAAATAGTCTTTAACATTAATAATATCTTTGTATTATTTAATATTACCTATAAAAAAAATGATTAATAATCCTTACAGTATAATATTATTCTCCTGCAAAGTAGACAAACCTTTACAATATAATTCAATTTTTTTTTAAATATTACATCATATCTATCACCTAAAATTTTATCTTCATAAATTAAATATTAATTAAATAAATTCATTCCAATCGACTTCTAACTTAAATTTGAATCAATAACCAAACATACGGGCCATCATGATTCCAATGGGCCTTGAATTATATATAAACCATAGTGGGCCTAGTTTAATTGGGCCATGGCCCGGACCAGCCCAATATTACATTCTTCCTATAAGTAATCTTCCTCAAAGCTTTGACGTTGAAAGAAACAAGCTTGCGGCGACAGAGAGAAGAGGAAGAGCTCTACGCATAGCAGCGAGAACAATGGCGGACGAGGACTACGATATGGACGGCGGGTTCGTATAATTATTCTTCAATTTGGTTGCCTTTTTTGCTCGTTCCGTCCCTTTTGCAGTGAACAATGGAATCAACTGCAATCGTTCCGCAATTAGGGTTTTACTTTGGGTTTATCATCTGAGTAATGAAAAGGTTTTAATTTGTAGGTATGAGGATGAGCCGATAGAGCCAGAGCCCGACGTGAGTTATTCTCCATCTTTGCTTCTAAAGAAACTTCATAGTTATGCTTATGCTGGTCGTTATATAGTTTAATTGATTTGCAGGAAGGAGCAGAGGTGGAAGAAGATGCCAACAATGAGGAGGCGCCGGACCCAATCGAAGGCGATGTCGACGAGAAGCAGGAGCAGGAACAGGTGGAGCGTCCTCGGAAGACGTCTAAATATATGACCAAGTACGAGCGGGCGAGGATTTTGGGAACGAGGGCTTTGCAGATTAGGTTTTTTTTTTTTTTTTTGATTAACTATAATTGAGGTTTAGGTTTGTAATTTTTTCTCCGTATTTTGGGGATATCTGAGTAATTTTGATGGCGTGGTTTTGCAGCATGAATGCTCCGGTGATGGTGGAGTTGGAAGGTGAAACTGATCCCTTGGAGGTAACATTAATTTCGAATTAAATAAGCAGCATCATCAGATTTGAATAATAGTTTTATTTTTCACTGTTATAAACTTCCAAAGTGATTTGTTAGAATTTTGGGCTCTAATGTGCAGTTTTCGGAAGCCTGCTAATTAGGTTTAGTTTTCATTCATTCATAGCCGGAACTTTTGTTTTTTGTATTTGTGGTTAGAAGTAGAAGAATCATTGGTATTAGGGTTAAATGCTATTTGTAAGTGTAGGGTAGATGGAAAACATGCAAGTCGATCTGTGAGTAATTTGAATGTTCTTGAGTGTATATTGATAAAATATTTGTGAAAATAGTCATTGTGAGATCATTCAGATAACAAGAAGGGGTTGGGCTTATTTAAGTTCCGGGTTGTTGGTTCTCTGAAAAGGTTGTGTGCAGGAAGTTTGTTGTTTCCGCACATGAATTTGCCTGATAAATCATGTTTTCTTTCTTGAATGTATTTTTGTTGTGACAAACATAATGTACATCTGGACTTTGTTTAAGAAGATTTTATATGGCCATTTTTTAATATATTATAGTTCTGGTTACTATTAGGAATCGACCAAATTTTTAACTGATGAACTTATCAACCAGGTCGCCCTAGTGATCCACTAAATTGCTGTTTCATCTTAACTCATAATTTTGAAAATATTAAGGTGGGGTTGTGGAGAATATGAAGTTTAAATGTTATGATGAATGTGAATTGGCCATTTATGAAACAAACCTGTGGCTTTTGTGTGTCCAAAATTTTAATCTATAATTGAATTGAAGCCCTGGGGTTTTAACATGGAGCCAAGTGTCCAGCTATTTGACAAGTGCATGATATTCAAGTTATGACTGCCATTCTGTTTGAACATCAAATTGGATTAAATGAACATGTTCAAGTTATGACAGTGTAATGAACATGTTCAATATCTATAGTTTGCTTATAATTTAGTAGGTGTGCAGATGTTAGATTACGGTAGTGAAAGCAGTTCTTTTAAGTTGCCCCCAAATGCTGCATCATGCTTTCAAATTGAAGCTCATTTAACACATGTGATTGATGTACTCTTTTTCTTTTTCAGATTGCAATGAAGGAGCTGCGCGAACGAAAGATTCCTTTTACCATCCGCCGCTACCTCCCTGATGGAAGGTATGATTCTTAACCGTTTCTTGTGCCCATATATAATTGCGACCGGTATAATGGCCACTGTGGCTTGCAGCTATGAGGATTGGGGCGTGAACGAGCTGATTGTTGAAGACTCATGGAAAAGACAAGTCGGAGGGGATTGAAACCAAGTGTTCTGAATTTTGTTTTCGAACCGAGCTCGTTGATTATGGTAAAGAGACAAATACCAGCAGAGCTGCTTAGCTGCACAAAATCATCTGTTAAAACCTTGTCGACTCCGATACTTATTACTCACTTGTTACTCTGTTCCGAATATTAGTTTTGCAATGCAACTCCTTGCACTAATACGGTCTTAACGAGGCGCATTCTTACTTATTATGTTTTGATTACAATTCCAAAGATCGATTGCAATAAACATACTAAAATATACAAGAACTAATAGGGATGAGCATTCGATAACTTTGAATTTTGATCGGTTTTTGGTTTGTAAACATCAAAATCGAAACCGAACCAAATTAATTCGGTTCGGTTTGAAATTGAACAAACCAATTTTTTTGAAACTCATATAGTGATGCTCGAGCTCATTATAATATATATAAAATATAAAAAGTTTATTTTATTTAAAATTTAATTTTTTCGGTTTGAAAATTGAAAACCATAACAAATCAACATTTAAATTTATAAATTTGATTTTAAACTAAATCGAACCAATTAACCGAATAAGTCAAACCGATCTGTCCAAACCTAAAGAAAATTCAATTTTTTTCGATTTAAACCGACCAATGTTCACCCCTGAGAACTAAGCATCGTATTCGACTAATCTGAATATCTGGAAATTTCTATCTAAATGGAACTCAAAGGTTTTTATACAATCTAACTAAATAAAAAAGTCAAGAAAACAGGGCAAAATTGAGAAAGTAAGAATTAAGATTACAATACAAAGATTGGACGTGCCTCAGCCTCAGCTGCTGGTATATTACAGTAGAGATACATCAGAGGATTATCCATGTATATAATTTTGGGGAACTAACTAATTAATACAGCCATTATATCATATTATATGCTAACTCCCAAACTTCTTTCTGCCCAGACCAATACCCAAACCTAAAGGCACTGACTCTGTTTTCCTACGGCTGTTGTTGTCGTTGCTGTGCTGGCAATGGCAAGAAGAATGGCTATCCCTGTCGTGGGTGGTGGTGTCGGAATTCACATCCAGTACCACATGACCATTGCTACTGGAATGGTGAGAATGGCTGTTACCATTGGGTAGGCCAGCCATGGGCGTCATACCGGTTCCTTCAGGCTCATTTGAAGCTTCTTTATATTCAATGTCTTCATTATAACCGTTGATCAGGAAGTCTGAGCAGTTCTTCTTGCATCCATGATCATAGGGGTTGCGGAAATGGCCACCCGGTCCTCTTAGGTAAGAATAACGGGTTCTGTTAAACATTTCATTTGTAGTGATATTTCGAGCTATCTGCAACAAACAAAGGTAAAAACTATTAGATGAAAAGTTTGTTGAGTGAATCTTCTCAGTGAGATTTGATTAGAAAGAAATAGGACAGTTTAGGAGGGACAAATGGGACAGTTTGGAGGGGATTATGTTACATGACTATTTCTGAGATCAGTTGAGGTTTCTATAGCATTAGATATATTATGTGCCTTCCGTACACGGTATCAATCCTATGCTTTATTCCTAACAAGCACTACCAAACAAGGACCCTCAGCCGATCTCAGATACAGTGCCGATAAAAATAGAAGGTATGCCAACAGATCAACATAGAATTTGAAGAAAGCATTTGCCCTAAATGCATAAACCGACGATACATAATCATGAAGAACTAAAACATCTTTATCAAACAAAACTTCATTACAAGTAATGGAAAGTGGAAAGAGCACAGCTAAAAAGCAACTGGGAGTCGAGCAACTCAAGGTTTCAAAAGCAAACTGCAAATAGCATATATTGATGGTGCATATGTGCATTTTAAGGAATTTCTTCATTCCTTCATAAATGCAGCATATCAGCTCAGCAAAACAAGGATATCTGTTCTGTCATAGATAATTGGCGGCTATATATATATATAATCATTGATGTAATTAAAAGATTTTATGCATAATTTCTGTATTAGAATCGATTTATTGCATGACTAAAACACACATTCTAACTTCGTAGACTATAATTGAAATTGAAAAGTCAGTTCTTTCTTTTATTATTAGTAGAATCCTTAAGCCTGTATATTATACACCAATTAATAATAAGTGACTTCCAGTATTCGTAATGGGCACAGCATATACTATAACAAACAAAAATAATCCAAACCCACTCAAGTTGTTACAAAGAACTCAAATTAATTTATCTTCATACAGCATGACCCCATCATATATATCGTGGAAAAGCTAATATAATCTAGTGTTAAAAGAGAATCAATGGTGTGTGTTCTAGAAAAGTAGAGACATGAAATATCACAAGGGTGTGTTTGTTTGAGGGTTTGGATTTTGAGTTGAGATTTGAATAGTAAAAAGTTTGAATTTGAATTGTTTTATGATGTGATATAAATAAGAATTGATGCGATGTTTTGAATATAAAATTGAGTTTTAGTATAATATAAAAAATGAAAAATAAATATTTGATTGGATGTTTTTTGAGGGAAAATTTTGTGGGAATAGTAGAAATCCCACAAAATCCCTCAAGCAAACACACCCCAAATAGAAAACGGGAGAGTCAGAAAGTATACCTGAGAGGCTTGTACATGGGTCAAGGTGGCAACACTTGAGAGAATAGCAAAGTCAGCAATCAAAAATGATAAAGCGCCAAAATGTTGGCTACCGGCATGCCTCAACCATGCACCAAAGGTAGACGGAGCCAAAGGGTCCGTCAACAGTCCTACAATGACAATAAGAATTGCATAATATAACACAACAAAGTAAACAATCTTCCCGCAATTTTTTAAAACAAAGATAAATATGAAAATATACAGCAAATCTCACTTCTCAGAGTCACTACTCCCGTAAGAATCATTGCAATAACTTCCACGACAAGAAACAAGAAGAAGTCCCACTTGTTTTTCTGCTCCAGAAAACAAAAAGCAGTCAGATTATATAACATGGTCATCCTTTTGATTACTAGGCAAATTGGTAGTTACGGCTATGCGTGGCATATAAATATTTTACTGGACAAGCTGGCATACTGATATGTAATTCTTTGTTAGTGTTTCTGTGTGAAGTAGAACAGACTTGGTTTGTCTAATTTTTTATTTTATGATGAGATATAAGAATCTAAAAACACAACAGATATAAGACAGCAAGCAAAGATGACTATGAAAATTTGTGTTAATTATAAGCACGAATAGTTCATACAAGTACACTAAAAAAAAATGTATAGTGTAAAAGCACCTTTCCAATGCAATTGGATACCCATGGGCAATGATGATCAAATTGCTCAACACAACGGTCGCAGGTGGAACAGTGCTTCGCACGGAGTGGCCGAACAATCTGATATTGCAAACTTCTTATTTACAAAGAAATACTAGAGGGAACTTTAATTTATACTCATAGCAAAGATATAAGGCATAGTAATAGTACCTTGCAAGTTGAGCACAGCTGAGCCCAATTCCCGGAAAGCAAAGCTGGATGGTTAATATCAGCCTTCAGCAATGGTTCCTAGACAATACCCATGAAAGAATTTACACAGAAAGCACAACTTAATTAATGCACAAGCACATGAACATGTGTGCAGGAACAAGCAACAACAAGGTCTCGTTGACCTATTTAACCAATAACAGGTACAAACTTACATGATCTTTCATGTTGTCTGAATCATGTATGTTTCTCATGATATATCCAGGATCCTTGCTACAAGTAACAAAATAATTGCTACGTAATTAGCTTGAGGACCAATCCAAGTACACACAAAATTAATCAAATCTTGGTGGTCAGCATGGGAGAACCAAACATGGGTAAATAAACTATCATGAAAGAAAAAGGATTGTCCAAACAAGTTTTACTTCCATGATTATATAAAAGCAACAATATTTACAAACATTATCAAAGCCAAAGCATAATAAAGGCATGGATAATTGTGTTGCCGATAACAAGAAAATGTCTAAGTTAACATGGTTTGACTTGATGATACGAATAAGGCAACTGAAAGCAACAAATGAGAATTAATTTTATTGCATATTTCACACTTTTAATCATTGTGCAATTATTTTGCTCGTTTCAGGTTGATCCAGCACAGAATATCTATCAGCCAAGAAACAACCCCCTTCACCCAAAGAGATATAAAATAAAAAGTATGTCTCCCTCTCTCTCTATATATATATATGTGTGTGTGTGTGTGTGTGTGTGTGAGGTACCTGCTACATCTATGAAAGAGAATTAGTCCACCTGATGCCAAAAATACTCCCAACCACGCAAAAAGACCAAAACTGGCTGTTAATCGTGGCAAATTTGAAGCTGCATCAAAGACTAAATTGTGTGAGCATTTTATGTTTCAGCTAGAGAAACAGTCAAAGACAAAAATAAATATCAGAAGTACCTGTGATAACAGAATTTATATATGTCACAAGTAGGAGTAAGATTACACCCAAGAGCAACGGAGCAAATCCTAATTTCGAAAGTTTGCCAATCAAGCTCTTGTTATCCCACTGCCTATCATACAGCCTTCTAGCATTTCCCTGCAAATAGCATTCACACCACAGTCACTTAAAAAACCAAAGATCAGTGAAGAATTCTAAATATACTACTATATATTGATAGAAAAGCTACCAAAATCAACCTGTGTATAATGCATATCTGAAACCAGTGATGAGTAAATGCACAAAATAAGATGTAGAAAAAGAATATCAGGAAATGCGATTAAACAACAACATGAATACTTGATGCATAGATCATATCCCAGCTATCCTGTACAATCCTCCTGGTAGGAAAAGAACAGTCACTAGAGCTACAAAAAACTAACAAATTATAGGAAAAACAATTAAGTGGAATTACCCAAGCACAATATGCTTAAGTATCCAAACATGTTTTGCTTGTATGTGTGCTACATAGAATATTGCTTGTATTACTGAAGTGATAATGTTGTTATACTTAAGCCATTAGTTAATGATCAACTTTCTAGCTAGGATGTACCCAATGCACACACAATATTTTCACAGAACTTAAGTTTCTACTGTACAGAATACCTACAAGGAAAAATGCAACTTGTCTGTGATTTTTATCGGCAGCAAGCTGTGCAGGTGTTAGACCAGTATTGTCTGCTAGAATCAAATCTTCCTTTTTTCCAGCCTGCACCAAAACAGTGCAAGCTTCTAAATTACCTTTAACGGCGGCCCAATGCAGAGGAGTACAACCTATATAATGAATATAGCATGAGAAGTGTATCCCATCTATGTATGGATTTTTTCCATTGAAATCCAATAGAAAATATAAAAACTGAAAATGCACAATAATTAAGCATTTAAATTGACCTTCATTATCTCGTCGCCCCCTGTATGTATCAAGGTATAACAAAAGTCGTATGCAGTCAGCAAATCCCTTGTAAGCAGCCCTATCATTATCCCAAAAAAAACATATCAAAATTATAAAATTCGACTAATATTTCAGTTTCTGAACAGCTCATATGAATAGCGCATGATAAAACTGCAACTAATAAATGTATCAGTAAACCATTATATCTTCATTGAATAAGAAACTAACTGCATTGCCCAAAAAACACAGGCATGCATAGAAACAACTGAATAGTCAGAAACTCAGAATTTTATTCAAGGTTTGCTTATAGAAAATTCTAGCTGTAAGAAAGGAAAGAGATATACCAAAAAGGAACAGATATACCAATTAACTCAATACATATGATATGATAAATTCGCTAAATCTTCTAAACATGGACCAAAAATGATTAATTAAATGACATAGTCAAATGGTAATCCTAAAAATTTAATCTTGTAGCAAGCATACCTCACCAATGTGTTGTTTTATAAAAGCCATTTAATAAGTCATACTTTCTGATATAAATAGCCATTAGAACCCTAATTTAAACAATATACCTACCAAATTATTCAACCAAAAAAGTTAAAATATACAACGCTGAACCTTAAGATATCACGAAGGATTTAGAAATTTGGGGTTCACACGGGGATTTATCATTAACAATTTCACTTAATAATGATGAAACTCTTGAGATATACAGGCTATATTTGGTTTGCCACCCACAAACCACAATTTTACACACAAATACCTAACTACCAAAAGCACAAGTTCTCACAAGAAAATCCTCTTGTACAAAAACAAATAAATAAAGATCAATAATCATTCAATCAGGATTCCCTTGTTCAAACTCAACTTCAAATTCATTAAAACACATTCACCTACACCAATGCACCCAACAGCCTAAAATGATAACACATAATCGGATAATAGCAATCATTATTGATATTCAATATACAATAAACGTACATATATTGAGATAAAAAATCAGTCATCACCATTCATCTAAAAAGAGTGATACATTTCACTAACAAAATAATCCACTGGCAAACCAAACAAAGCCATAGTAAATTTAAAAAAAAAAAAAAAAAGAAACAAAAATGCCCTAGACAAACAGAGAATAACAATTACATTTATCAAGTACCAGTGTAAAGGACTTCTGCCGTTATTATCACAAACATCAGGATCAGCATTCCACTTTGCAACAATGTAATGAAGAAATGCTGTCTGCCCAAATTGAGCAGCAACATGTGTTGTCTGCCAGAATAAGAACAAAGATGAAAACATCAAAGTGTCGTTGATAAGAGGGCAAAAACATTGTGTTATGAGATAAAAAAGTAAGAAATGACATGTCATGCATTTATTATGAAAATAAAAGGATTTTGAATGGGAATCGTCAATGAACTAGAAGATAAACCAACACAATATCTTAAATTGTAATTTTGTTCTTTGCATAAAGTGTTTAATACCATTCTATTATCCCGCATGTACCCAATGCCCAAACAAGTATTTAAACATCTAGACAAGTCAGAAAAATCTATAATAGTACAGGGTAACAAATTCATCTTCGCATCAACCAAGAGATTTCATGTCCATTCGTTTCCAGGAATGCAGCCAACTAGGTACACAAATCACCTCAATGAAACATTACACAAGGCAGAGTTATCATAGGATAACGAATTAATTCATGCTCAAGAAATGTCTGAATTATGTTTTCGCACAAAATCCATTATCTAAACCACTTACCAGTTGTTTGATCTTTGTAGCAATTCATGCTCAAGAAATGTGCAAAGTATGTTTCACACAAACTCCACTATACAAAGTACCCAACCACTTATCAGTTGTTTAATCTTTGTAGTAATTCATGCTCAAGAAATGTGCAGATTATGTTTTCACACAAACTCCATTCTATTAGTAACTCTCATACCCAAATTACAGATAAAAACAGATCATTCATTAATTGAATGCTAGATCAAACATCTGAATCTCAATTTAAAAGGTAATATACTAACAAAGGAGAGCTATGAAGAAATAGAGTTGCAAAAATATCTGAAAGGAATAAATCAGCAATTTATGCTACATTTCATATGTATCCAACAAAGTGATCAATATTCATATTATTCTCATTTACACTGCAGAACCCCTTCACAAAAAGTAAGAATAATTCTACCACATAACATAGGTCAGAAACAATAAAACAAAAAGGTTTCAAAATATAAGAAGCCACAATAACATAGAGGAGTCAAACATTCCGAGAACAGCATCCCAAATGCTAGAAATAACTCTAGAACTTTATTGAACTACAACATTCTATTAGTACTATACACTTTTATTGAAAGATCAAAACAACAGAAACAAACCTGGTACCCATTATTATCAGCTATGCTGATCTGAGCACCCTCCTGCAATAGAGCTTCAGCAACCTGAATTCCGCCCCTCACGGCACTCCAGTGCAGCGCAGTTTGCCCTTGATGGTCTTGTGCATTAATATCAGCTCCATGCTGTCAATAATCCAACGCAGCATAATCAGAACAGGTTTTAGACACAATTAGAATCAACTATTTCAGAAATTCAAGGCTTAGCAGCATCGACATTATAGATTCACAAAATTACTTCAAAATGTTTCAATTGACCAGTAACTTATCACAATCCATAAAATTAGTCTTGTGAATTATCTGCAAGCCCTAATTCAGCAGTGCTTTTCTTACAAAGCATTCTCTTTGACAGCATAACAAATTCTATATCGTCCATTTCCTCTAAATTTTCCATCAAGAAAAGCTTTGGCCAGATTAGAAAAGGAGGAGCAAGTCAACAACAATTTTGCAATACCTGAATGATGTAGTGCGCGGCGGCCGGCCAGTTATTGAGCGCTGCCCATTGGAGGGCGTAGTAGCCATGGGCGTCGGGGTCGGAAACGGAGCAACCGTCGGTCTCGACCAGGCGGCGCAACTTGTTGAGGTCCCCGTAGGCGGCCGCCGTGTACACATCGTTCTTCAAGCTTTCGTCTTCTTCCAGTACGGCCTGCGCCGATGGCTCCCCGGCGTGATTCCTGGCCTCCTCCTCCACCACCTCGATCTCCGACGCCATTTTAGAAGAAAGGGATGATGGGCCGCGTCAATCTGACGGATTCGCTGAATTCGCAATCAAACAGACTATTGGTAAATCTAAATCTTTCGTTATTTCCGTCGAATCTCCATCAACGACTACACCGAATTTAAGGGTTTTCTTACTCATTTATGTATTTTTGTTTATTTATTATTATTCATACTTTTGAAAAAATTTGGGTTTGCTCGTGTTTTTTTTTTTTTGTCTTCTTTTAAATGTATTTTTATGTTAATTACGGAGGAAATTGTATTAATAATATAAGAACTAATATTAAATTAATGATTTTTATTAATTTAATAAAACATATTTTTATATTATTATAAAAAAGAAATAATTTAAAATTTAAATTATAAAAATTCAAACAAAGAATTTGTTTTAAAATACATTTTTACTTTATAGGATAAAATTATAATATATGTATTATTTTAATTAATTATATAATCATATAATAAAATTCAACATTTTATCTACAATTCAATTATTAATTTTGATAAAATAATTTTTTTATATTAATTATATCTTATGATTATTTAATATAACATGTAAGAGAATGGTTAATAATATTTTATTATAGTATTACTATATCTGAATTTATTATTAAGTTGAATAAAATAATATTATCCACTTTAATCCTGCAAAGTGAACACACCCTAAAAATATAGTAGTACTATAAGTTTGTTTGCCAAGAATTTTTGTAGATTCTTATATATGTATTTTATTCTCTTATAAAATTTATTTATTTTTTATATTTTATATAAAAAGAAATTATTCAAATCAAATCACTAAGAGCACATGCAAAGTATTATAAGTTTGTTTGCCAAAAATTTCTTTAGATTCTTATATATGTATTTTATTAGCTTATAAAAATTATTTATTTTTATATTTTATATAAAAAAAAAATTATTCAAATCAAATCATTAAGAGCACATACAATAGCCTTCGTTTTAACGTCTCTCCTCCAACTTCGACACCTGTTTTGCCAGTTTTTCCACCCCTTTGAAAAATACGACTGCATATGAGTAGTCAACAACAACTGGCCAACACAATATTCGTCTAGTATGGCTTGTCTGTCGGGCTTAATTTGCAGTGTATTAGGTTCGACCGGAGGTTTATCCAGTACGCATTTTCTGATAACGAGTGCGGATTCCCACGTCATAAAAAAAAATAAAAACAAAAATACACGAACTGTGTATCTCTCCGTCAGAAAATTCTGAGCGTACGCAAACAACTAAAAGATCATCCACAATGCGAACTTCTCGGTGAGATTGCTGTAGTCTGACCAATAGGCAGTAGGAATAGCCACGGAAAGACGTAGAGTACGGTTGTTGCAAAAAGGATGATCCACAATCACTGTAAATACACGTCGACCATGTCCAGCTAGCTGTCCGGCGCCAAAAGGCCTGCCCGCATAGTGTCTCGACGGTGCTGCCCTTTCCGAGCGTTTGGAAAATAATTGTTTACAATGAAATTAAAATTAATAATTTTTTTTTAAACATGCCAAAATTGATATATATATATATATATATATTTATCTCAATAGAATTATTTTTTATTTTTCCCAAAGATTTATTTGAGACTGTATTCTTTCTTATTTGTATTTTCTATTTTCAATTTATGTAATAGTTTATATCAATAAAAATCTAGGAATATTATTAGTTTGTTCACACTTTTTTTTTTTTCCGACGAGATTTCTATTATATATTTTTTTATCTCACAAAAGTCAATATTCAACATAAAATATTACTTTATTTGTCCGCATCTATGGGCTACATTATTTAACATTAAAAATATTTTTATATTTGTATAATTTTTTTTACAAATGTTTCTCTATTAGTATTTTTGCAATTTTTTTTAATTTGTACTACGTTTTGATATAATAACAAAGATCTAATATACAGTAAATAAAATTCTTAAAGCAAGAAGAATGTAATATTTTTTATATTATCAATATAATTTCTTATATCTTACATCAAAATAAAAATTTCAAATCAAAACGGTGAACAAACAAACCCTATAATATATCATAGTATTAATTTAATTATTACTACCTCATTCCCACATCAGGTGTTTAATCACTGTAGACACAGGATTTAGGATAAATATAATTAAAAATATATTAATAAAAATAATTAATTTATAATATAAATTATTATGAATTAAAATTAAAATAATTAATTAATTTAATTAAAATTAAAAAAATAAAATTTAAAAATTTAAAATAAAATTAAAATGAATAATTATTTTTTAAAAAAAAAAAAGAAAAAAGAAAATGAGATGAGACGCAGAACTAAAGAAACGGATAAGCTTATATCAAGGTTGATCTTCTTAAAATGTGTGAAAAGAAACTCAGCTCAAATCAATCGAACTGTTCTAGATCTAAATGGCTGAGTCGCCCTCGCCCTCTTCCCCACCGATCTTCTCCGCCGGACAACCTCAACAACAAGACAAAGGGGATCCTCTAATTCCTCCCCGCAGGTATGTCTGGACGGACTCCGGCGGCTACGGCTATGGCCCTCTGGACCTCGCTGGAGTTCCGTCGGCTACAGATATCCCTGTCTTTGATTTCGCCCAACTCCAATTCGATCAGAACCTCCACACCCTCCGCCGAGCTCTAACCTCCTGGGGCTGCTTTCAGGTATTAATTAATTAATCAATTAATTAATCGATTTCTCACTTCACTTGTCCTAACCAATTAATTAAACATATTCTGCATATAGTATTTGAACATCTTCTGTTCTGTGTGTTTTTTATTTACAACTACTTTGAAGACTGATTTGATTAGAACCTCAATTGTGTCGGAAGATAGAAGTTTGGGTTAGACACAGAAGTTTGTGTGTTTACTTTTGAGTTTTTTTTTTCTTGTTTTGGATTTTCATTTTGATCAGTTACATTTTGAAACGGAGGTATGATATAAATATGTATTGACGAGATATTTGAGCAATAAAATAAATAAAAATTAAATGTTTATTCGATATTTTTGAAGAAAAAATAAAGTTAAAATAGTAAAATATTGCGGGTTAAAGTTTTGAAACTCACTCCTATTTGATAATTATAGGAAGAAGATCATTTGACATAATGCTTTAGGGTGTGTTTGGTCGTGGGTGCTTTAGGGTGTGTTTGGCCGTGGGTTTTAGTTTTTGGGTTTTAATTTTTTAATGATAAAATGTTGAATTTAAATAATTATTTGATGTAATATATATAGACGTTTGATGTGATATTTTAAATATAAAATAAAACTATAGCATAATAGAAAAAATAAAAGTAATTGTTTCATGATATTTTTTAAAAAAAAAAAATTAAACATGTAATAAAATTTACAAAAGAACGCAACTTTAATAATAATAAATATTGTCAAATATTTCAAAAGTATATATTGTTTAGTTTTCTTTTTGTAATAAATTAAATAAAAAATTTACAAATAATGCGAGACTAGATGCAGACAAATTATAAGCAAGATATTTTGAATTTTGAAATTTTTGGAAGAAAAAATAATCCTTGAATGCAATATTACAAAAAAAAAAAAAAAAAAAAAAAAAAAAAGAAAAATCATTGAAAACACAAACAAAGCCTTTAAAGACAGTATCTATCTTTCAAAGATTTTCAGAGTTTTGAAAGTTTGTAAAAATAAAAAGTAAAAATTAATACTTGATTTGATATTTTATGAAAAAAAATACTTCCTCCGTCCCATATCAATTTATTCATTTATTTTTTACACGAAATTTTAAAAATATTAGTATTATATTGAAATGTAATAGAAATAAAGGTAAAAAGACTAAACTATCTTTTATTAGTATTGTATGATACAACGATAATGATATTTATGTAATATATTGTAAATTGAAATGATATTTGTAATGTTAGGTAGACGGATTAAAATGAAAAAATGAATAGATTGTTAAGAGACTGAGTATATATTTAATGTGATATTTTTTTAAGAAAAATGACGAACCCTGAATCATTGGAAATTATCCAGGTAGTAAACCATGGAATTGAAGTTTCTTTGCTCGAAAAACTCCGCAACCTTAGCCGAGAATTTTTCCATCTTCCGACGAACGAAAAGCAGAAATGCGCGAGATCATCCGACGGCTACGAAGGCTACGGCAGCGATCCTGTCCTCTTCGAGAACCAATCCGTCGACTGGAACAATAGGCTTTATCTCTTAGTACTCCCACAAGACGACCGGAAGCTCAAATATTGGCCCGAAAATCCCAAATCTTTCAGGCAATAATACAAGGATTTCGACCTAGTTAATTATTTCGGTCAAAATTAATATTATATTTTTGTTACTAAAATCAAATTTATTTATTTATTTTTGGTAGGGATACATTGATTGAGTATACGAATCGAGTTAGACGGGTCCAAGATGAGCTTCTTAAAGCAATGGCGAAGTCTTTGGGGTTACAAGACGATTGTTTTGTGAAACAATTTGGCGAACGCCCCACAATTTACGCGAGATTTAATTATTACCGGCCTTGCGCTTGGCCGGACAAAGTTTTGGGGTTGAAACCACACGCGGATGGTTCCGGGATAACGGTTCTTCTTCAAGACGAGGATTTGGAAGGACTTCAAGTCTTGAAAGATGATCGATGGCTCCAAGTTCAGACATTGCCTCACGCGTTGCTAGTTAACGTTGGAGACCAGATCGAGGTACGTATATGTCCTTGCTTTTGCCAAATACTCGCATACAAAACTCTCAGTTTTCCGTATTAGTTTTTGCGCCACGGGTTTTTTACAATTTGAAAATTTTATGTTAATACAAAAATTTTGTTCTTTTAGAGTTAATTTTGAATTTCTTCAAATATAGTACTTCTCTCGTCCTGCTACAGATGATACAATTTTTAATTTTTTTTTTTTGAGTAATGATTCAAATATAATACCAACAACACTACTAGTATAAAAAATACTTCCTCCATCCTCTCTAAGGATCTTTTGCGTCATTGTATTTGACGTTAAAAATATCTTTATATTTATATTTGTATTTTTTTTTTTTCTTAATTTGAACTATTTTTGCAATTTTTTCTTAATTTGTACTACGTTTTTTATATAATAATTAATATTAAAAGATTAATACGCAAAAAGTGAATGACACCTTAGAGCTGAACGGGATAGTAATAAATAATATTTTAACTTATTATTAATAAATTACTAATTTATGCTACTAAAATACCGTGTCTTGACCCAGGGTAGAGGAAGTATTTTTGTTAGAGAAAATAACATTCTCTATTATTGATAAATAAACAGGAATTTTTTTTATAACAATCTCTAAAAAGAAAATGAATATAAATTTGGACACGAAAAAAATATATTTATATGGAATGACGATGATGATATAGTAAAACAAAAAATTGAAATCAAATTCCAATCGAACAAACTTCTCAAACTTGTTCTTTTGGTATATTTTTATGTTTGTGTTCGACTTTTTTCTATTCAGTCTCATGTTACGAAAGGAGCGCGCCCCTTAGTTCTTACAATAAACTTACATAGTTTTATATGACGACTTAATTTCAAGTCTGAACATGGTCGCGCTCATGGTTTCATCTACATGATTTTTTGCAGATAATGAGCAACGGAATATTCAAGAGCCCGGTGCATAGAGCTATTACAAACTCGGATAAGGAGAGGAACACGTTGGTTATGTTTTGTAGTCCGGATCCGACGCAAGAGATCGAACCTGTCGAGGAACTTGTCAGCGAGTCGCAGCCGAGGTTGTTCAAGAAAGTACGAGGATACGATCGAATTTTTTTCCAACACTATCAGCAAGGGAAAAGACCCCTCGACGCAGTTAGAATTTAATTTTGTTTTTTTTGGAAAGAATTTTACTGTTGCATAAAATGGTTCACAATTCTGAGCATAGTTAGTATTTTGAATGGTACAATTTTTCATAAATATTATTTAAAAATTATACTTTTTTAGTCATTCAATTATGTGCTCATTTAATCAGACACAAAATTTTAAAAAAATAGATAAAAAGAGAAACTTTTACTTTTTTAAAGTAAAGAATAAGTTGAAAAAGTGATGATATTTTTTACTAAGAAAATGAAAATAAATTTAAATAATTAAAAAAAATGAATATATTTGAATGCAAATGATGAAGTAATATACATATATTAATACAATATATATAATATATATTTATATTCATTCATAAAAAGTCGATATTTTTTAATATATATTTTTTTGAGGATTAGATAGAAGTACAAGATTTTTTATTTTTATTTTTAAGTTTTAAAAATAATCTATACAATAATAATACTATAATTTGTCAAATATTATTTCTAAATATTATTTTATTGATTAGTGAAAGTAAATAAGAAGTTTTGTATAGCCTGCAAATTAGGCAAAATCTGAAGACGTCGGAATTTAAACCCATGAATTTATCCTCACACATTAGGTCATTCCTTGGGACAAAGAAAATACTATTTATTATTTAGTTTGCATAATATTCAATAAAAAAAAAAGTAATAAATATTAATATAATATATAACAATACAACGTATGTTATATTTCTTGTGACGAAATATTAATTATTTTAAATGAATCTATTATTATATTTGTTTTACGACAAATTACTAATTGTTTTATGTAAATTTTCTAACTTAGTCTTAAATTAACATGTTACTGATTTGATTTCATCGGCACTCTAAACACCGTTTTCCCGATATTTCAATATTGAATAGCCTAATGAGAAGTTTTGAGATCAATTTAAGAATTCAATGCTACAACTTAATTAGAATGTCTTGAGAAAGATGATCTCCAAGAAATCTGCAATGACTTATCGTTAAAAATAAATTATTTTTGAATATTAAAAACTACCCGCTAAAACCACAACAAAGTCCATAGAATTATCGCAATGCCAAATCATGCTAATTTGATTTTAATAAAAATTTATTAAATGTATAGACTCGTAATAGGTCGATTTGTTCTATGTAAAATTATTTCCAACTTTTTTGCTTTATCGAGGACAAACTTTTCTCTTAAAAATATCATATTCAAAATTTACCTTTCGTTAATAATATTAAATAAGAAATTTATTTTATATTCAAAGATATTATATTACAGGGTAAATTGTTTTTTTTAGTCCCGTAAGTGGACTTCCTTATCATTTTAGTCCCGTAAGTGGAGCATGTCGCATACTAGTCTCGTAAGTGAAAATTTTCATTATTTTAGTCCTCTGGCGCCGGAGACGCCCGCGTGGCTTTTATTTTTTATTTTTTTTTAAAAAAATTATTTTTAATTTTATTTGCTTTTTTTTAATTTTTTTATTTAGTCCAATTAAAAAAATTTTAAAAAAAATTAAAAAACTTAAAAAAATAAAATCCACGTGTCCGCCAGATGTCGCTGACCTCGCGGGACACCTGGCGGACACGTGGCTTCCGGCGAGCCACGCAGGCGTCTCCGGCGCCCGAGGACTAAAACAACGAAATTTTTTCACTTATAAGACTAGTTTGCGACATGCTCCACTTACAAGACTAAAATGATAAGAGGATCCTGTTACAGGACTAAAAAAACAGTTTCTCTTATATTATATTGATCAAACATTTTTTATTTTTTTTTTATATTCAATGTTTTAGTATTTTCAATCAATTCAAAGTCTCAAAACACTTTGAAAGCATATCTAAAGAAATGAATCAGACGCAATATTTTATGTAGCCGACATTACATATATAGAAATATTCGTGTTAATGATTATCTCTACATTTCTTTGTTGAGGAATATTCTTATCAACATTACGTTCTATTTTAAGCACATATTCATGTCGTGTATCATTAAAACAAGCTAAAGCTCAAATCAATCTTGTTGGATATGTTTATCTTTTTTTGTGTATTTATTTTGTATTTTTGAATGAATATATTTTTTTATGTTAGGTACAAAAAATTGTATCGATAATATAAAAATATTACTTTTTTATTGATTTATTAACTTTTTGTTAATGAATAGAGTATATATGTTATGTATATTATGTTAATATGTATATATTATATATTTTTCTATAATATTTGTGAAAAATTATGAGACGGTTACAGCGGTGATTCGAGCGTAGGAACAACTATTTTTTAGTGTATAATTTGAATTAAATCAGTATGTATTGTATTGATTGATATATCATCGTGCTTTCACTTCATGCTATGCAAGTATATTGTATTACCATACATATTGTGATGAAAACAATTGTGATATATATTATATAAACTATTATCGCGTATTGTCATGTAATGATTCAATAATCACCTGGTATGTTTGATAAACTTATATCACTACAAGAAATATCATTTTTGCAACGAAATTTTTTGGTCCCTAAATTCACGTTTTTCGTTACTAATGACATTAGAGACCGAATTAATAATAAAATTACATTAGATACGTGAACTTTAGAGACGAAATTCCGTTAGAAATATAGTATTGTTTTTGTAGTGTATAAAAATTAAGTAATAAAATTTTATCTTTCAATTACAACATAATTCAACATAATTATATTATTATTTTCTAAGTTATTAATATTTAAAATACTATATGCCATATACCATATTTTTTTTTTTACTTCAATCTTTTTTTCATAAAGTTTTACTATTTTCAAAATAATTTTTGAATATTATGGCTCAGTTTAGATAGAAATTTTTGGAATTTTGAAAGTTTGATTTGACGCGATGTTTTTCTAAAAATAAATAGTATTTTAAATTTTTTAAAAAATAGTCAATACAATAATAATTCAAATAAAATTATAGATATTCAATAGAATATTTTAAAAACAAAATAATACAAAAATAAAATTAAAGCTACACGTAAATATATAGCCAAATATGCACACTATATATGGCCTTTTATATTTTAGACGATCATTTTAAAATATGTGAATCGACTCATCTATATATAAATATATATATATATATCCATCCGTCGTTGCTATTTATTTATACTTATTTATTTTCCATATTACGTTAAACTATTCTTAACTCCAAACCCAACTTGATGACTAATCCTCGACAAGAAGACGAAGATAAGCTTCGGCTTCCCGAGAGGTATGTATGGTCAGATAACACCGGCTATGGCTATGGGCCTATACACCTCGATGTTCCTTCGGCCTCGGATATTCCTGTCTTTGACTACACACAATTAGTTTCGGCAAAGGATGCAGATCTCGCCCGCCTTCGCGAAGCTCTCACCTCATGGGGTTACTTTCAGGTCATTTATTCTGTTTTTCCTTTCAAATAAAAAAATACAAACGATGGAACCAAGGGGGGCCATGGGTGTTCCCTTAGTTATTCCAATTTTTTTTTAATTTTATGTAATATATATGGATAATTTTAGAATTTAAATAATTCGCCACTCTTATTAATTTGATAAATAAAATTATTATTACAAATATTTAATTTTATTGTCTAGATATCATTTTTCTTTAAGCTTATGAATTTTTATTTTTATTTTTTTTTCATATCTAAAGAGATCGAAGGAAAAAAATAAATGTATATTCGGCCACGCAAAAAAAAAAAAAAAAAAAAAAAATTGCTGCTCTGCAACTGAAACATACATCACCTCTTTTACAAAATAAATACATAAACAAATTATTAAAAACATCAAGAACTTTTATAGGGTGTGTTTGAAGGTGTTTTGAATTTTTAAATAATTGAAAAATTAGTACAAACGATTGATTGAAAAAGATATATTGTTTGATATAATATGAATATATGTCCAATGTAATATTTTATGTATAGTGTGTTTCCTTTTGGATTTGTAATTGGAAATTTGAATGAGTGATATTTATTTATCATATAATAGATATATATATATATATAAAATGAAAAAATGTATTTAAGTTTTTTAAAAAGAATTCCTTTTAATATATTTTCAGTCGTTTTTACTATTTGATTTTTATGTTCTCTGAAAAATATAAATTTTCTTCAATAAAATATTATATTAAATATTATTTCCTTCATCTTCTAAAATTATGTTCACTTTTCTTTTCTTTTCTTTTTTCTCTTCAAAATATTCTTATTTTCTTAGTCAACGGATCATGTGCCGACTCACAATTGAGTTCATTATTTGCTGAATTGTATCTTATCATTCATCTTGTATTAAAAAATTTAAAATTATAGTTTGGGATTAAAATTAATGATTTTGATTTAATTCAGCCAGCATGGAATTCATCATGATTTATTTATTTAGTTAAAAACGATATTATTCTTATATCTTTTTACTATTAAAAAAATAATAAAAAAATATCAATCAAAATTTCACATATTAAAACCAGTACCAAAAAAAGAAATTTGAACACAAATTTTGGAGATTGAAGATGTATATAAAACAAAAACTTAAGCCCCCAAATTACTCAATCCAAACTGAAAACACACTCATATCTCACTAAAATATATTTAATATTGATCTCATGAATAAAATTTTATATAATATAAATAAATAATAACATAAATTAATTTTATAAAAAAATAAAAAGTTTTAAATGTAATAAATTTATTTGTTTATTAAGAGGAGGTTTAAATAGAAGATTATAAGTGGATCCGATAAATATTTAAAAAAAAAAAAACAATCAAAACATAATCCAAACTAAAAACGAGAGAATGATAGTTTTTAAATTTTATATAATTTTAAATATAAAAATATATATGTATTATATATAATAACTTTTTAGAGAGAAGAAATTCGATGAATAGTATTTTAACATACTTAAAAATGTGTGTAAATAGAGCTTTATTTTTTTTATTCAAAATATTACAATTATTCAGATAGTAAACCATGGCATTGAAGTTTCCATGATCAAAAAGCTACGCCATCTTAGCCAAGAATTTTTCGATCTACCGAAGGAAGAGAAGCAAAAATATTCGATATCATCCGAAGGCTTCGAAGGCTATGGAAGTGACCATGTTCTCTTTGAGAACCAAACCCTAGATTGGAATGATCGGTTGTATCTCATAGTACTTCCAAAAGACCAACGAAAGCTCGAATATTGGCCCATAAACCCTAAATCTTTTAGGCAAGAATCTTACTATTATTTAACCTAATTTTTTAAATTCAAATTTGTAGTTTATAACAACAACAAAATTATTCCTTTTGCTAGGGATGCATTGAGTGAGTATAGCGATCGAGTTTGGCAAATCCAAGAACAACTTCTTAAAGCTATGGCGAGGTCTTTGAGCTTACACGAAGATCGCTTTGTTGAACAATTTGGTGAACACCCCGAAATGCACGCGAGGCTCAATGTTTATCGCCCTTGTTCTTGGCCCGAGCAAGTTCTTGGGTTCAAGCCACATTCGGATTCATCGGGGCTAACCATTCTCCTTCAAGACAATGATATAGAAGGACTTCAAGTGTTCAAGGATAATCGATGGTTCCAAGTTCCTACTTTGCCTCATGCACTGCTAGTTAATGTTGGAGATCAAATCGAGGTTCGTAAAATTTATCAAGAAAAATCTTTTTTTCTTTTTTGATAACATGTGAACTAGCCGCTGTTACTATTTCACTGCGCTATGGATAACTACAGCCGAATCTAATAGCTTGCAAATTAGGTTCGACAAAAAAAAATTTTTAATTAAGGCAAAATGTAGTTTTACATGTTGAAAAAAAATAAAAATTGGCCCTGATATATTGAAAAACTACTATATATATTATTTTTAAAATTGATTTTATGAAGTTAATTAATCTTTATATTTTAAATTTTAGTAATTAATTATATTGAAATATTTATTTAGGAATTTTCAGCTAGTAAGGTTTCAAATTATCATGACCTCAAGACCTTAATTTTTTATATTTGTGTTTTGTGTATAACAGTAATTTGATGTAATATTTTAAATAAGACAATAATGTATTTTTAAATAGAATTGTTGCATAGTAAAAGAAACTTAAAATTAAATTAAATTCTCAAAAAAAAAAAAAAAAAAAAAAACAGAGTTTAGTATTTGTGAAATAATTTAGTCATTTAAATTTAAAATATTTTTTTCATATATAATGTGATATAATATTTTGAATGAAAACATTACATCTATATGGGCGCGATATATATATATAAGAAGCGGTACAAAATCAATTTGAATAGTATTTTCGAACATGTATGGTGATATTATCTGAATGACATATCGTATTTTGTAAAGATAATGAGCAACGAAGTATTCAAGAGCCCCGTGCATAAAGTCGTTACAAACACAAATAAAGAGAGGAGAACATTGGTTATGTTTTGTATTCCGGATCCAGCACAAGAGATTGAACCGGCGGAGGAACTTATCTGCGACGAACAGCCGAGGTTATTCAAGAATATCAGGGACTACTACCCGACATTCTTCCCTTACTATCAGCAAGGAAAAAGAGCCATCGATGCCGTCAGGATTTAGTTTTTTTTTTTTTTTTCGGATTATTGCGCGTAAAAGTTTCGATGTTTAATGAACATAATGTAATGATGCTGTAAATAAAGGATATCATGTATGATTGCACAGTAAAGTAAATTTATCGTTACAAAAATTTTAGGAAAATATATAATACTCTGTCAGTCTAAGATAATTATACATCTTAATTTGTTTGGATAAGAAGATTAAAAAATTAATGATATTTTAATATTATAAAATGAGTTAGATAATATGTAAAGTGAGAGTATGATGGAAAATATATTAAATGATTGATAAAAGGTAATGAGATAAATTGGAAAAAAAAATATAATTATTTATGATTTATTAAAGTAAAGATATAAATTTACAAATGGATATATATATATTTGATCGGAATATATATTTTAATTATACATAAGTTTAGCGAATAATTAAAAAACTAAATGAATATAATTTTGACCTATAATAAGAATTTATTTTTTTCCGTAATTAATATATCTATTTTATTTTTATTATTATTATTTTTTAATAAGTTATAAATTATCAATATTTCAGCTAAAAATATAAATATATCAATATCTTAATTTATGATCATTCTATTGAATTTTTCAAGGGCTTTTAGACAATACATTCTTATAGACATTCTTATTTATTACCTACCAACAAAAATAGAGATATTTTTTAATGTATAGTAAGTAATAAGAGTAAATTGCTATACAAAATAGATTTTCTTTTGAATTTTTTTTAGTCTCTTGTCAAGCAATCTTTTTGTAACTATATTTTTTATTTTTTTATTTTTTGCAAAATAGGAAAAAAAAAATCTCTATGTAATTAGCAAAAACTGCTATAAACTAATTCTGATCCTAAAATGTCAATTGATCTACTTGCGGTTTTGAAAATATTGGCCCAGTGCTTATTTTCAAATAGCGTATGCGGATTCTCACGTCATCAAAAATAAAAAATTGAATTAATGGCATTAAATTTTTATTTAAGTAGGTCATTATGCCATGATCCTTTTGCTTTGTAGACTACGACTTTTATTCTCTAACATACATACATACCGTAACATATATATATACAATTAATTTGTCTTCCTCACCTCACCACCGCTGCCGCCGGTGGCTCTCCACCAACCCCTCTTCCCGGAGGAGCCGCCCCTCCTCCATAGAAGAAAACAAAATTTTTAAAATAAAATTAAATCGTAGAGAATAAAATCAGCTTTATATGAGAATTAAATTTTATCATCGACAATCATAAAGCCTTCGCCCGGAGATAATATCCGAAAAAACTTTCATGAACAAATCTGCCCAAACCCCCACAAGGCCACAACTATGAGAAAATATATTTTTTGTATTCGTATACGTTTGATTGATCGTAATTTTAAAATACTTTAAAATAAAATATTTATTTAAATTTTTATTTAAATAAAATTTTGATGTAATATTTTATTAAAAAATAATATATATTTATGTGCGAAATAAATAGCGAAAGATTTAAAAGTCTAAGTCACAACCAAACAAATTTCTTCTAAAAATAAATCTCAGCATGCTTTTTATATTTTATACTAGTATATTGTAGAAGTAAGAATAATTTAATATGATATTTATATATATTAAATATTATATACATCCTCCGTCCCGTTGGGAGGATTGCGTTTGCTTTTTGTACGTAGATTTTTTAATATTATTATTATATTTGATTATAGTAAAAAAAACAAAAATACCCCTATTTGTATAGTGTAATATAAAAGTAATTGCATTTGTGTAATATTTTGTAAGTTTGAAAGAGTATTTACTATGTTAAGTAGATAGTACAATTACTAAATTAGGAAATGATAACCTTGTTTTGGGACGAATGAAAATGAAAAATAGTAACCTTTCAATGGGACGGATGAAGTATAATTTTTTAAAGAAAAGTTAGAAATTTGATTAGTAAAAACAAATCAAAAAAGAAAAAGCAAAATATAATCTAAATAAAATTACGTTTTTTTTATTTACTTTATTTTAAATAGTTGCTTCCATATAATGGGTTTATTTTCTTACTATTCTAAACTTAAATCATCCTTATTTATCATATAGTCCATCCGCCCCGTATTTATATATTCATTTACTTTTTGCACAAAATTTTAAAAATATTAGTATTATATTGAGATAAAATAGAAAAAAACTAAATTATCTCTATTAGTATTGTACGATATATATATATAAAGATAATGATATTTGTGTAATATATTGTAAATTGGAAAAGTATTTATAATGTTAGGTAGACAGTACAATTACTAAAAAGGAAATGGATACTTTTTTTCTATGAGACAGATCAAAATAGAAAAATGAATAGATTTTTAAGGAACGAAGGAAGTATAATTTTTAATAAAAATAAGGAATATTATTTTTCTTATAAAATGTCACATCAAAATATCATTTAACCAAATATTCAAATAAACACTTAATTTCAAATTAATTTTCAATTATAATCAAACAGAATTCTTATAATATAGTGATGATGTGTTGACGTAATCAACATCCTAATCACGGTCTTTTATTATTTTGTTATATAGTTAATATTTTATTTTTTTTTTTTGTTTTATCTGATGTATCGTTTAAATTCTTAAATGTATTTAACATTAAAGTATGAAATACATATATATATGTTTGTTCTTTAGAGCAACTATAATATTTGAAAAAAAAAAAGAACAATTTCTTTTCACATGAAGTATAAAAAATTATGTACTTAATATAAAAATAATTAATATGTATAATATATTTATTTTTTAAAAAAAACATACGGGTTTGTTTCTTTTGTAAAAATATTTCTACATATTTTTCTAAAAATATTAATATACTATACACACTCATTATTTTTATATAACACACATGAATTATTTTTATATTCTCTACACAATTTAATATACTTCACATACTAAATAAAAAAAAAAAAATCCTTTCAAAATACTTACTTCATAAAACAAAAACTTTTATTATTTTAAAATTAAAAAATTAAATTCATATAATTAATTTTTTAAATTTTTAATTATTGTAATATATTTTAAAAATTAAAAACATTGTATAGAGTGTATAACGTTAAATTTTATTATTTATTTTAATTATTTCAATTTAAAGTTTATATATTTAAAAAAAAAAATATATATATATATATATATTACTGCACTAGCGTTGTCTTTGTGATCCTTGCCTTTGAGAGTTCTTGATAGCCTTTCTTTGTAAGTCCTTCCTTGAGTAGTGATTATTATGGAAAAGTAAAATTTGACAATTTACATTGACGCCAATAAATTATTTTTCAATTAAAAAATTTTAGATCTAAGTGTCAAAAATAAAAACTTAAAACTCAATTAAAATCAAACAAGCTAAAACCTCTAACAAACGCGATATTTCTTTTCATATTAATCAAATGATATCTTCTTCATCATCATCAGGATCGACTCCCTCGTAAGCCCATTCATGTTTCTCTCTCATCGCCTCTTCCTCTTCGGGCGTAAAATTATTTTTAATTCCAAAATTTTTTCTCACCCACGCCACACTTTTATTTTTCATCATATCAGCTGTCCTCTGACAAGCTTCGTCTAAAACCACCTGAGCTCCCATATAATTCGAGGCCGAAGCAAGGGTGAGGAAATCATTGAACTTACAATTGGCGAAAAACTCATCACAACGTTTTTTCTTTTCTTGAACAGTGAATTGCTGAAAAGATTCTTCCGTATATATCTTCAGGAAACCAATTATCCTCTCGAGAGTTACTCCATCGACTTCGGGGAGTGGAATTACATTCGTTCTTCTCTCTTTTCCCATTAAATCTCCCTCTTCTTCCAAATCCAATAAATTTGCGATGATGGATGATTGCAAGGCAATAGATTTGGAGATCTTGAATTCTTTACCGTCAGAGCTTCTTAGAATTCTACATTCTTCCTCGTCCATGGTAGTTGAAAAAGAAGATGCCATTAAATAACCTTATGTGTTTGAGAATAATTTCAAAATTAATATCAAAGTAGTGATTATTAAAAACCTACTTGTCTCTATATATAGAGAAAATTAGGGTAAGTATTAACGGTAAAGAAAATTTTTGAAATTTAAAAATCTATCCAAACTAAATCAAAATTTAAAATTTAGTTAGGATTTTATAAATTTTAAATTTTTGTAACTATATACTAAAAATTCGGATCAATTCAATATCTCAAATATAATATTATAATATATTGTATTATTATTTGTCCATCACTAGATACACGGTATTTCAATATTATAAATTATGTTATTGAATTTATTTTTATTGACATCATTTACGCATAAAAATTTTATGAAAATTAATTGATGAAAAAATCATATATAATTAATTACCAAGTGAGATGAAGATCTATACCATATTTCAACTTTTTATTATTCTTATTCAAAAATAAAATCATATAATAATAATAATAATAATAATAGTTAATAAAAGTACAATGTGTTTGTTATGATTCACTTAATAATTTCGGATGGCACAATTTTTTAAATATTATTTAAAAAATATATTATCCATAATATATATTATTATTATTATTATTATTATTATTATTATTATTATTATTATTATAACTCTTTATCCTTAACATAAAAAATTCAATAATTCAAAAACACAAGCAGAACAAACCCATTACGTAGGCATGGAATCCTCGGCCCCTCGGATCTCCCTGCTACTTCCGCCCTTCCAACAAGACACTGACGTGAGAATTTAAAAGTGATATAATTAGTAAATAATTAATAAAATACTAGTAAAAATAATTATTGTATAATAAAAATTATTTTATATTAAAATTAAAATAATTAATTAATTAATTTAACACTGCGGCAGGTTAGTAAAAACGGTGATCCCGCTTCATTGACCGTCGGATCAATCTGAAATTTTCAAGAAGTGTTCATAATTCGTTGTTTTTTCAAATATTGGGATTATTGGTTGGATACATTCAGGTTTGTTTTTTATCTTTATTTTCTTAAATATGTAATTTTTGTTGGTTGATTTAATGATAATTGAGCATATTTACATGTATTCTTAAAAATTCTTATACTTCCTCCGTCCTATTGAAAGGTTACCATTTTTCATTTTCGTCCGTCCGAAAATAAGGTTACCATTTCCTAAATTGTACTACCTATTTTACTTAATAAATACCCTTTCAACTTATAATATATTATACAAATGTCATTATTTTTATATTACACCATACTACTAGGGGTATTTTTGTCTTTTTTTACTACAATCCAATATAATACTAATATTCAAAAATCTACGTGCAAAAAACAAATGTGACCCTTGTTGCGGGACGAAGGGAGTATTTTATTTCATTATTGTGAATTTTCTATGAAGCGTGATTTTTTATTTTTTTTACCTTGGAAGGGTTTTCACGTAATTATTTTTTTTTTTTTTTGTATTTTATTTTCAGAATCTGATATATAATATTGTAATATATTGTATTACTAGTTTATCACACATGCTATACATAGATATTTTAATATTAAATAATACTTTATTTAATTTATTTTTTACTAACACCATTTACTCAAAGAAATAAAAATTATGAAAATTAATTGATGAAAAAAAAATCATATATAATTACCAAGTGACGTGAAAATCTATACCATATTTCAAACTTTTTATTATTCTTATTCAATTCATTAAAACAAAAAAAAAAAAAAAAATCATATAAAGATAAAATAATAAATAGTTAAGAAAAATTATATTAAAAACATCATATACTCCTAAATAAAATACAAAGTGCAATAAATTTGTTCTGATTCACTAAATATTTTTGGGTGATACAATGATACTATTTTCCATACATATTATTTAAAAAAATATATATTATAAATATATATATATTTTAGGAATACTAATGATTTGTGAGGATCGATTCATAAATATCTTTTAATTAATACAAAATTTTATTCAACTAACCATATATATTTTTAGGAATTATCACAATCAAATTATTATTGAAAACTAAAATAAAAATCAAATAATAATAATAATAATTAAAAGGAAACAAAATACTGATTTTGTAATTAGTGTGTTTGTTTGGAGGTTTCATTTTAGATCGAGATTTGAATAGAAAAAATTTTGAATGTGAATAGTTGTATCATGTGATATAAATTAGTCCATATTTTGAATGTAAAATAAATTTTTAGTATAATATAAAAAAAAAATAAATGTTTGATTTGATATTTTTTTGAAAAAAAATTAGTAAATAGTGGAAATATTTAGGAATCCTTCAAACAAACACATCCTAAATGAATTTGAATAATAAAAATTTTGAATTGAAACATGGTATGATGTGATATAAATTGGTAATTTTTAATATAATATAAAAAAAACTAGCCTATTACCCGTGCTATGCACGGATAATTATAAAAATTGTGATATTAATTTAATTTTTATATTTTAAATAATAAATTTTATTTTGATAATAAAACTTTGTATGAAGATAGCTAAAATTAATTTATATAAAAAATAAACTATAAAAAAAATACGGTAACTAAATAAGTAAGCGAATCAAATTTCATAAATATATATCAGGGAAAGCTATTCAAACAACATACTAAATAATATATATAATAACAAAGAGAAAAATAAACAAACAATATTAAATAACTAAATTATAAATTAAATAAAATTTATATACCATTTTAAATTCAAACCTAAGTTAGATTTAAAATATTTATTTACAATCTTATTAAATGAAACATTATAATAAATTTTGAAATAAATTTATATCTATCGAATAAGAAAAAAAATCTCTTTGATTTTTTTATCGCCAGCTTGAAAAGAAACTTTAAACAATATATTAACAAAAAAATTAAATAAATACACTAACAAAAGTAAAACAAATATTGCAGAATATTAAGTAATAAAAATTATAAATTATAAAATTTATATTTCAAGTGAAAACAAATATAAATTAGATTAAAATATTTATTAAAAAATCATATTAGATAAAAATAAAATACTCAAAATTTGAATATGATTTCAATTTTTTTTAAAAAAAAATTGTTTTAGAATAGTAATTCTAAACCAAATTAATTAGAAAATATATATATAATAAGAATAAATCATAATTAATTAGTAAAAATAAAAATAACAAATAAACAAATAAAATAATACATAGAAAATTAAAATATAATAATTTTTATAAATTACTAAAATTTATCTTAATTTTCTGTGTGAATTTTTCTGATATTCTTTTAAATAAAATATTCCAAATTTAAATAATATCGACAAAATTAGGAAAAAAATATTTTAATATAATATTCAAAACCAAATCAATTAAAAAAATACATATTAAATAAAAATGAATAAAAAATATTAGTAGAAAATAAAAATAAGACAATATATAATTAAAAGAATATATAGATAATAAGGAATATTGAAAAATATACTATAATATAATAATCAAAATCAAATCAATTAGAAAAATCAAATACTCAGTAAGAATGAAAAATATTTATTAGTAGAAAATAAGAATAACACAATAAATATTTTAAAAAATACATATACAATAATAATGGAATATTAGAACATTATACTCAAAACTAAATAAATTAGTAAATACATACATAATAAGAATGAAAAATACTTTATTAATAGAAAATAAAAATAACATAATAGATAATTTTAAAAAATACATATATAATATAATGAAATATTAAAACATTATATTTGAAATTAAAGAAATTAATAAATAAATATATAATAAGAATAGAAATAATTATTAGTAGAAAATTAAAATTACTTTAATAATATTATTATACATAATAAAATAATTAAATAAAAATAAAAAAATAATAATAAACCTGATTTTTTTCCCTCTTTCTACTTCTTTCTTTCTCTTCTATTTTTTTTCCTTTTTTTTTGAGATTTTTTTTTTCATCATAAAAAATAATAATAAAATAAAAAATCACGTTGTCCAAATAAAAATAAAAAATTCACAATAATAAAATAAAATATAAGAGTTTTTAATAATACATATAAACATGTTCAATCATCGTTAAATCAACAAAAAAAACCCACATATTTAAGAAAAATAAAGATAAAAAAACAAACTTAAAAAGTTTCTCATTCTGGTTGAACTACATGTATCCAACCAATAATCCCAACATTTCAACGAGACAGGATCGCCGTTTTTCTGAACCTGGGCAGCGTTGGACGAAAATTTCATAATAATTTTTGTTATGGCGATTTTGGCTTAATTATATATAGATATACAAAACCTCGATAAATCTGAATTTTGTTAAATTAGTTATTATCCTAACAAATTATCCAAACTTATTATTTAAAAAATAAAAGAAAAAATTCTAAAATTACGAGAGTGTATGAATTAAAGTGCCTAGTGCTATATATAAAAAAAAAATATGTATTTAATTTGATGTTTTTGAAAAAAAAAAAAAAATCAGTAAATAGTGTAAATCTTTACAAATCTGCCACACAAACACAGTAATCAAAATATATATAGCCTAAATAAAATTATGTAAATATTAAATTTATACTACTAGATAAAATTGTAGTATAATCTAAAAAAAATTATAAATATTTCTGAGAGAGGGAGACTTTAAATCTGTAATATATATTCACAAAACCCTTACCCTCTGAACAGTTTACGTTCCCTGTGAAGCTCAAGCTCGAGTCTCCAATGGCGTCGTCCACCGCACATCCACAGGATCAGCTTCTCTCAGACGACACCCCCGTCCTCGATTTCACCCGCCTGGTTTCCACCACCGACGCCGCCGCACTCGCGGACCTCCGCCGCGCTCTCACCGCCTGGGGATTCTTCCAGGTTTAATTAATTAATTCAATTTCTCCGATCCCCAATTCAATTGATTTTCCTAATTAAAAATCGAACGAATTAACAGAACTGCTAATTAATTAATTAATTAATTAGTATAAAAAAATGAAATTACCTTTCTATCATTGGATCGATGGAGTTGTTGCTGTTGATGTGCGGATGCAGTTAGTAAACCATGGCGTAGAAGCTTCGTTGATGGAGAAGCTGCGCGACCTTAGCAGGCAATTCTTCGCGCTGAGGATGGAGGAGAAGGAGAAATACGCACAACCTGCAAATCATTTCGAAGGCTACAGCAAAGCTCCGGCGGAGGAGAATCGATCCGACGACTGGAACGAAAGGATGTATATTTTAGCGCTCCCCAAATCGGATCACAACCTCCGATATTGGCCCCAATATCACCAATCTTTCAGGTTCGTATCATACCGCCAATGGCCAAATGTATCTTACGTATTTGTATATATATATTTTTTATTATTTAAAAAATAATTTCATATTACTTGAAAAAAAGTAATTTATTTTTATAGTCATAAATAATTTGATGACCGTACAATATATTTTTTATCATTTTTTCAGTTTGTGTCAAAAGTGTTATAAAATACCCTTAACATTTAAAAAAAAATAAAAATCCTATACTTATCAAAATCATTTTACATATTTACTATCCTCCGACAAAAACCTAGATTATCACTATTGTTTACTATTTTCCAAATTATTGTATTTTATTAAAATAAAAAATAGTTATCAATATGATATTTGAAATGAAAATTAATTTAATATAATATTTCAAAAAATATATATAAAAGTGTATTTTAATTAAATATTATATATAATATTTTATTTAAGAAAATAACTTTTTGATGGGAAGAAAGAATTATGAAAACAAAAAAAAATCCACCATGTAAGGGCATGTTCCAGGATTACTATGCATTCTGGTAAATCTTTTACCGAGATCCGACCTGGATTTGACCCATTTATTTGGGATCAATTCAATTATATTAGTATCAAGTTTGGGTTTTGATATAGTGCACCCTTATTAGGTCCGGGTCGGGTTTCGGATCTAAAAGTGGACCTTACCCGGAACCGAACCGTGATTAATATATTAATAATATATCAATTATATATAAAAAAAAAATTAATTATGTATATTATATTAAAAATATGTTTTCAGTTTCATTTTTTATTATTTTTTAATAATATTTTTGAATAAAATACATAAATTTTAATATATATCAGGTTCGGATTCGAGTTCAATTTTGAATTAAATTTTAAGTAGGATAAAAAAACTTTCAAATTTGTCGGATCCATCGGGTATCGCTCAAATCAAGTCCGGGTATAATCAAATTTGATTCGAATATCGGGTCCAACAAAGAATATTCGTGTCGGATCTCGCTGAACCCGATCCATTGTCCTCCCCTAGCATGTTGGTTTCATTTTTGGCTTTTGATTATCCTAAAAATATGTAATAATCCTATAATTTTATTTTTTTTACTCTTTATTTCTTTGAGTTGTTTGTCTAAAAAAAAATTCAAGAAATATATATATATTATTTAATATTATTTTTAATATTATCGAAATTTTATATACTTCACATAAAAATAATAATAAAAAATTTTAAAAAAAAAATCTTAAAAATAAAACACTATACAAACGAACTCTTTATTTGTTGTAGCTTTACAAATTTCAAAATGAAAAGGTAGAGAAATACTATAGGTATGTTTGATTTTTTGCAATTGGGTTTTGTGTCAGAAGAAGAATTTGAAAATATTTTATTAAAAACAAAAATAATATACTTCTAAAGAAATGTGAGGATTATATAATAAAAAAACAAAAACAAAAACAAAATTACTATTAAAACAGAGAAATATGACATGAATTTTCATTCATTCAACCTTCTCTCGTCTTCACACTCACTCAAAGTGATATATATACATTATATATGAGAAAGATATATATATATATATATACAAAATAACAATACTTCCTTAGAATGGCCATTCTTTTGGTAGGGATACATTGATGGAGTATGCCGATGGAGTGAAAAAGATCGAAGAACAACTTCTAAAAGCAATGGCAAGATCGATAAGCTTACCGGAGGATTGCTTTCTCAAAGGATACGGCAACCGTCCCACCATGCTTGCGCGCCTCGGTTTGTATCCTCCGTCCGCTCATCCAGACCAAGTTCTCGGGATCAAACCACATACGGATGGCTCCGGAATAACCTTTCTTCTTCAAGACGACGACGTGGAAGGCCTTCAAGTTCTAAAAGATGGTCAGTGGCGCTCGGTGCCCGCATTGCCTCGGGCATTTCTAGTCAACCTCGGCGATCAAATGGAGGTAAGCTTGCTTATAAATATATATAGTCGATTTTTGTATAAGGTAAAAAACAAATTAAGTGTTTTGAGCGTCATGCAGATCCTGAGCAATGGAGTGTTTTGTAGCCCTATGCACCGAGTTCTTACCAACTCGGAGAAACCGAGGATGACATTGGCCATGTTTTGCAGCCCGGATGTCGATCATGATGTCGAACCTGTGGAGAAACTTGTCAGTAGCACCCGACCTCGGCTATTCAAGAAAGTAAGGAACTATGGGACCACTTTTTTCCCGAGCTTTCAGCAAGGGAAAAGGGCCATCGATGCGCTTAGGATTTAGGTCATTTTGGGTGTCGTTTACAGCCGGTTTTATCGGCGAACACCGCCCCGGATAGGGGGCGGACATATACAATAAAAAGCATGTTAGCCTTTAGTTAAAGTAAAGTCTAAACTTATAGACTTAAAATAAAATAAAGGCCTAACACATGGACGAACTAGTTTTATTTTTTGATTTATTAGGCCATACGTTAGGTAAAGTCTTTCTGAACAATCTGAATGCAAGAATATCAAACTAACAAATTGAAATCTGAAACCAAGAATATAAATACTACTACCTTTCTTCCCTTAATATATTTATTTTATCACTTTGGACTCTTCATAATAAATATAATATATAATATACTACCTCCATCCGGCTCTAAGGTCTCGTTTTCTTTTTGCGTGTTGATATTTGAATATTAATTATTATACGAATATATAAGATAAATCAAGAAAAAATGACAAAAATATTAATATTTGTGTGGTATAATACTATTATAATGACATTTGGGCAAAATATTATACAAATATAAAGATATTTTTAATGTTAAGTACAATGACGCAAAAAGTAAATGAGTTAGAGTAAAGAAAACAACTGATAAATACAAAATGGACAGACTGCGGAATATTGGAGGATTTTATCAAATTCTTACAATTCACCAAAATTTAGCTCCCAAAAACATTAAATCAAACATCATACATTTATTTAAATTCAAAATTTTTAGGATTCAAATCTCAAATCCCATAATGCAAACCCCCCAAACAACACATCCTACCAATTGTACATCTCGAATGTCCACTCCTATTTGAGCATAAACACAAAGTTTCCGAAATTTCCTGACAAGATACAAGTAAAAAGTCGGGTAAATGAACAAAGCAACGGCACAAAAAAGGTTGCCGAACTATGTTTCTTTAGCCACCAAATCCTAAATTTTTACTATTTGGACTATGCGTTTTTTCGAAGAAAATTACATTTTTTTCATCTCACAAAACATCTCATTATACATTATTTTAATACCAAACTAAATCAAAAGAAACGTTTAATATAAGGAAGTTTCAGACCCCAATACTAAATACCTTCAATCTTATAGCTTACAACTTAGAATCTCAAAGATATAGTTTCGACCAGTGCAAGTAATTCACTAAATGCTATGAAGATCCCACATCACAATATCGCCGTCCTAAAAGCATAGATCATCATAGCTATTGATCTTCTAAGCGCAAGGCCTAACTACCAATTAATACAAGATTCGTAATCCATCACAAATGATCGACAACATGGCTACGCATTGTAATGATCGATCATATACTTCTAGACTAAAAGCATAACGAATCAAAGAAAAACAAAGGCATCATTGCTAATAAAGCATTATGTTCTTTCTCTTGTCATGTATTCGAAATCAATATTTTAATGCTGATTTTGGTCACCGGCACCTAAACATAATGCAATAAAAAAATAAAAAACTTCCCAGCAATACTAATTCTGATTTTCTCATGAATGCCCTTTTTCTCTTGCCATGTATTCGAAACTGATGATTGTAAATGCGATTTTGGTCACCAGCAGCTAAACATAATGCAATCTAACAAAATTTTATTACCAATACTGATTCCTATTTTCTCATGAATGCCCTTTTAACGGCTCATATGAAATTAGTACTGCTCCACTGAAAGCATCATCAAAAAGAACAAATTTGGCATCAATGGAGGTGCCATCTAATGCATCTGAATCAAACTAATATTCATTGATGTAAACATAGAAGAGCATAACATATAGTTCTTCCCCACATACTATGAATCCAACCATTTTGATCTATGGACAGCAGGCAATGAGATTTTGATAAATCTACAGATTCTTTGTTATCCCACACAGATACAAGCAATATCGATGTCACCAACTCAAGCAGATAATTTCACTAAAAGAATCTAATCCACTCAAGTGGATAATTCGTGGCAGCCATACCTAATCGATGGAAACCAACCATCCTAGTTGTTGTTCTGGGTGTTGTAAGCCTCAGCTTGTGATGGCAACAATGGTGTCCCGTTCTTGGGTAGCTTAGCCAGCTTCGGCCTTCGAAAACCTCCTTCCTCTGCCTTTCCAAACAACTGCTTCCTCAAAACCTCATGTAAGTGTCCAAATAGCTCTTTCTTCAATGCCTCGAATGCTAAATCCAACCTCTCCAGCTCTTCCATGGCGTTCTCATTGTACATGAACAGACCATAGTATAAATCAAAACTATCACTACCTGTGTTCTCCACCAAATTCAGTAAAGTTTCGTAACCCTTTGTGTTGATCGGAGTGCTCTCCAGCTGCAATTTCTCCAGAATCCGTCCCATGGTGTGCGTTATGAATTGAGATCCTGCAGCGTACCTATCGTGCTCTGCGCATGTCATCTCCACCATTTCGCAGCCTTCCTTTTTGAAAATATCGAGGAAATTGTCAACCCTAACTAACCTCGATTCCTCGTTCCCAATTCGCACTTTATCGAACACGAATGGCAAATTCTGCCAGCTGTGTTTACCGCTCTCCGGACCGAACATTGGATGAGTGCAGAGGATATCGAAATGGCTGGGAAGGTTCTGGAGGAATATGTTTTTGGGGAATTCCTTTACCGACAATACATCGACGAACAGAGTGTTCCGCCTGAGGCGCTGGAGAGGCAAGGATCTGAGCACGGATTCGGTAGAAATGATGGAAGTGCACATGACGATGACATCGGGATGGTGCTCGCACAGGTCGTGGAGATCGGAGAAGAACGCGACGCCAATGGATTGCGCAATAGAGACGTAATTAGATCGCGAATGCGCGTAGACGGTGTGTCCTTGCCGAACGAACGCCTTCGCCAGGAACTGACCGAAGTTTCCGAACCCGACGATGGCGATTTTGAGCTTCGACGACTGATTGAAGCGGCTGACGAGGAATGCCTCGTAATCGTAAGGTTGCGCGGCGTCGATTGCGTGGATCCGGAGGCGGCGGCGATGGCGGCGGTCGTGCGGCGGGGAAAAAGTGAAATACAAGTTCCTCCGGCAATTGTAGAAGGGTAGGAGCGAGCCGCGGGAGGCGGCGGCGGAAGTAGTCGGCGGCTGCGCCGCGGCGGCGGGTTGAATGGATGTTAAGGAGATCACCGCCATTGATTTTCAGCTAATGCCAAGTCACAGAGTACACAGATCATTTGGGAACAAAAATTCTCATTTACATATATACATACATACGCACACGCACACGCACACACCCGCGCGGGTGTGTGTGAGGGTAGATGAACGTGTGGAGGTTTGGTTCATAATAGAATTCAGCCTCCAAGATGGTCTCCTTTTCTAAATTTTAAGAAGTTAAATTTAAAATCATTCATCCACACCTTGAATTTTAGGTGTATGATTTTTGTTTTAAACTCCGTTCGGAATAAGGCGACACATTTAATACGAGAATTTAAAAATTGTATAATTAAAAAATAATTAAAAATATATTAGTAAAAATAATTATATTTAATAAAAAAATTTATTAATATTAAAATAACTAATTAGTATAATTAAAATTTAAAAATTATAAACTAAAAAGTTTAAAATAAGATTAAAATGTATAATATTTTTTTATAAAAAAAAAATGACAATAAGTAGGATATACCAAAATAAAAAAATAGACACAGTAAATGAGAAAAAGAGACGGAGGAAGTATTACTCACTTCGTCTCGCTTAAATGGTTCTGTTTACTACCGATATTATAAGAAAATTATCATTCTTAAATAATTAAATAATATATTAATAAAAATAATTATAATATAATAAAAAAATTATAAATTATAATTAAGGTATTTAATTAAAATTTAAAAAAATTAAATTAAAAAATTTAAATGATATTAAGATGTGTAATTCTTTTAAAAAAAAATGATAAAAGATGTGATAACACAAACAACAATGTGACCGGTATATAATAGATTTATATTAACATAATATATACTCCTAGGTCCTAGTTACGGTGTTCTCTTTGTTGTAGACACAATAATTTAAGAAGGATATAGTTAGTAAATAATTTTAAATGTATTAGTGAAAATAATTATTATATAATAAAAATAATTATAAATTAAAATTAAAATAACTATTTAGTTTAATTAAAATTATAAATTAAAAAATTAAAATAAGATTAAATTGTATAATACTTTTAAAAATATAGGTCCTCTGACTTCCAGCTAGCTATGTGCTGTGCAAAATGAATGTGACAAAATAAGTGGGAAATACGAAAATAAAATGTGGACATGTTAAGTGGTAAGGAAGAAATAATATAACATATATACTTTATATATTATATACTCTTTACGTCCCAAAAGAGTTGTTTTATTTTTTTATTTCTTATCGTTTCAAAACAATTGTCTTATTTTCTTATTTGGTAACTGCAAATATGAGCATATTCTCCGTTTAACAAAATTGTGTATTACTTGAATTTCTATATAAAAATTATGACAATATATGATTTATGGCGTACTTTATTAATCTATCTCGCTTGGCATGATCCAAAATTGGTTTGTTGAGATTATTAACAATTTTTGCCCTTTCAAGCGGTGATTCGGGTCCAGAAAAACTAAGGCATAAAGAGCAAGCGACAATCGCATCCGCTACACCAGCGAAGACATCATCGCTCATGTCAGCGATCCAGACACCCACCGCAGCAAAGCGACAACAACTGGTTGCAAATAACGCCTAAGTGTTCAACCCGCAGCAGTACAGTCATTCCACTACTAGCCAGCATTGACGACTCCGCTCAGCTGCACTGATGTCCTCCAACCATTTGGGTGAGCGAGGAAGATTTGTGACCTTACGAGTCGAAGCAAGTGAAGCGAGCACCCTGAGAGTTACGGCCAACAACTGCCCAAACAGTATAACTGCCACCAACTACCTAACTGCCCAGCAGTTGGAACCACTTCTTAACTGCGTGCAACTGCTACTCCCATTAACTTATAAATAGGGCCAGATATCCATTTTTAAATACACTTCGAAAGGAGTATACAAGCACTCTTTGTACACGCATTCTTAGTTGTCTTCCTCCTCTAGAGAGCTCCAACCCTGTAAAGAAGTTTTCAGCAGAAATTGCTAGGGAAGTTGAGATCTCTCTTATCCCTTGGCCATACTTTACTACTTACTTAGTTTTAGTTTATCGCTTTAGTTACAACTTTTGTAGAATTAGCACTTTACCAGTAGTAAGTAATGAAATATCATCTATTCTTCGTCATCACATCTCTCATATTTTTGCATTTATATAAACTTTGGTGGTAAAGAACTCTAAGTCGCTGAGAAAGAACGTTTTGGTAGTAAGTAATGAAATATCATCTATTCTTCGTCATCACATCTCTCATATTTTCGCATTTATATAAACTTTGGTTGAAAAGAACTTTAAGTTGCTGAGAAATAACGCAGAAAAATTGACTATCCAAGTCTTGTCTCTTTGTCACAAACAAATTCAGGGTAGTTCGAGGTAGTTAAGTACGTGGGAGTCTTGTCGACCTCCTTAATTACTGGTCTAAATTCAATTTTGATTAAAAATAGGTAACAGAAGAGTAAAGCCACTAATGAGACAAAAATTTAGATAATTAATGGGGCATAGGCGGTGGTCTATTGGGTCACAGAAATTCCTAGTGACAGTAGGGTTTCTTTCTTATAATATTCTGATTCTAGGCGTCATTGAAGTCTTGTTGTAACTCCCTTAAGGTCAAGTACCAGCGATCAAAGTTCCTTTTAATTTGGTTTATATAATTACATTACTCTCTTTTTACCGCTTCGTATTATACATATATATTTCGATTAAACACCAACACCACTCGTTCATTTCATCCAGGAAATTCTAGTCATTGAGTAACGCACAGTTCAGACACAACATCTCTCCATCACCCTCTACCGCTCAATCTATATAAATATATTGAGTCCATCCGCTCATCTTCCTCTCGCTCACCCATCGCTGGCACCAGTCCTACTCACCACCGCTCCGTGCACCATCGTTCACCTTTGCCGTTTTCCTTAGTTTTCTAGTTTTCTGTAGTTTTAGATTCAGGCTCGCTTCCGAGCGGGTCTTCTGACTGCTTTTTCGCCGCTTTCACTAGATTAAAACTTGATTTGATTTCGCGACTTAAAATCCCTGTGTTCGACCTAGAAACTCACAAGTTAAAGAGTATAAATAATTATGATAAACGATTTAGGGTCTACAACCACAAACTTTTGCTATATCTGATTGCTCACAATAATCCATTACATCTAAATTTTCGACTAAAATTCTCTGTATTTGAATATATATCCAAAATCGTGTTGTCAGTAACTGTGGTCAACACTTTACAACAATATTATTCCTATTTTTTTATAACTACCCCTAATTATTATTTTAACCTACTTTTAAAAAATTTCAAAAAGTAAAGGTTTAAAAAGTAAGGGTAATTTATGGTGTATTTCTCTGGCCCAAAATTGGACTGGCTGGGTTAGGGAGGAGAGCGCCTGACAGTGTTATGTCATTTATATTATTATATTCACTATCATCAAATCAATACACATTAAAACTCTCTAAACTTAACACAAAAGAAATACATAAATTCAAACTCACCTCAAAATTCAAATAAAAATTAAATTCAAACCCAGATTTCCCTGAACCCTCCTAAAGAAACACAGTCTACGTTATACTTTATATCTACTCTCAATTAAATACTATTATTCTTTAATTCTCGTATCAACTCTCCACAAGACGTCTTTTATTGGACGGAGTAAGTATTATATAAGTGTGTTAACAATATATTTCTTATAATATTTATGGACAGTTATGCCACCAAAAAATACTGAGTAAACAAATCGAATAATTCTTTAAAAAAAATATATCTCCATAAAACAGTTATGTTCTCCCATTAAAACATAATGTCAAGTATTCAATTTAATTATTTAATAGTAGTATTATATATTTGATACAATGATGAAATTTCTAACTTGACGAATCTGTATTTTATTCAAATTAATTGCTTCACCTAACCTATATATATTATAAAAATTGGGTGTACAAATATCCTTGTTAGATCTTATGACAATTAATACACATTTCTTCCTACCTTTTCCCTCATGCTAAATTGTACACATGATAAATATTAGAATTTAAATAAAATATATTTAATAAATAATTAAAAAATATAAAATATATAAATTTAGAAATTTATAAATAAATAATTAATAAATTATTTAAATTTAGAAATTATAAATTTTAAAATATAATTAAAATGTATAATTATATTTTTTAAAATTAAAAAAAAACGAAATAAAAAATATGAATATTTTATGTGGGAAGAAGAGCAAAATTTTTAGTTTTTATATACTCTCTCCGTCCCGGTGCAAGGTTGCTGTTTACTTTTTGCACGTAGATTTGTTAATATTAGTATTATAATAAGTTGTAGTGAAAAGGACGAAAATATCCCTATTATTACTGTGTAATATAGCATTTGTGTAATATAGTGTAAGTTGAAAGGGTATTTATTATGTTAGGTAGGTAGTACAATTACGAAATTGGGAAATAGTAACCTTGTTTTGGGACGGACAAAAATGAAAAATGACAATCTTTCAATGGGACGGAGGGAATATAACTTTTGCAAAATTGCTCATAACTTCCTTATTGTTACGAAATTCAGCGTAAATCTCTTTTTATTTTAAAAATGATATGACGTCTTGTTGTACTTTAAAAAATATTACATGAAATTACTTTGTAGTTTCAAAATTCGGTATAAATCTCCATTTTATTTTAAAATTACATAATAAATTTTAAACTTTAAAAAATATTGGATAGAATTCACTATTGAAAAATTCACTTTATTATATATATATATATATTATTGATAATTCAACTAACCGAATAGGAATAATTTTTATTTTAAATATAAACCCAACACACCAAATTCACTATCACAATTTCCACTAATTTTCAATTAAAATTATAATTTGTTTAATATTAATAAAAACAAAGTTGGTTGTTGGCCACTTTATGGGGCTTTTACCTTTTTCCAATTTAGGCACCCAAATTTGACTATTTCTTAGTATAAAAAATTGACTAACCACTTAAATAAGTTTTGAAAATTATCTTTATATTGAAAAAACTTTAAAATGAGAAGGAGTTTTGACAAAGATGTGAAGTAGTATATATATTTAATTAAAATAAATATATATATGTATTAAATAGAT